TGGATGTCTTGGTGATAATAACCAATGATTAATTAGTTGTTGACTAACTCACTTAAAAGAACCAACTCAAAAGGAAATCAGACTGTTGGCTCTTTGCAAAATAAAACTGGTTCTGAATAAAAACAGGTTCTCGATTCCCACTACGTGTTTGTTTGTATGTGTATTTTACAGTGTGTGTGTTTTCAGGTTAATGCATGTAACCACTGATGGTCCAATCCCTGAGGGTCCACCATTACGCTCTCCGCTGCGCTCTCCTTTAAAGCGCCAGTCCTCGGTCCAATCGGCTCGCCTTGGGAGCACCAAGAGCCTATCGGCTGCTGTCTTCGCAGAGAAAGCCACGCCTCCTACTGGTGTGCAGTTTAGTAGCGAGGTTTCCCGTAGCGACGAAAACGTTTTAGACTCGCCAAGGCAGAGAAGAAGCTACGGAGCATTTCCTTTCACTCCGTCAGCTGATTCCAGCACATTCCATCAATATCGCTCTGTTGACTCCTCCATGTCTGTGGCTGACAGTGAAGCGTACTTTAGCGCCAATGAGGAGTTCGAGCCAATCAGTAGCGATGAAGGTCCAGGTACCTATCCAGGGAGGAAACGCAGAAGACGACAACAGGGTCAGCCCCACACAGAACACAGCCGCACCTCCATATACCACAGTGTGGAAGGACCTCTGTCGATCGCTGAGAGCCGCCCACCCCCGATACCTAGCCATACCTCCCAAGCCTCATTTGTCTCTGCACTTGGATTGGAGGAGGAGGGATCTGTTGAAACCGAGAAGGCGGACTGGCCTTCTGACAACACAGCCACATTTAATGGCTTGTTACCAATCTTACCTTGCACATTATCATGTGTCAAACTGGACTGCTAAGCAGCCAACCAATAAGAGAACATCTAAGTCATCACTGCATCGGCCTCTTGACCTTGACACGCCTACAAGTGAGGAGAGCTCCGCCTCCTTTGACCAGTTGTCCACCCCTTCTTTTAAGGTAAATAGTTTTTACAAGTTTTTCCTTCATTGTAAAATATTATTTATGCAGTGGTGCTTTTTTAAGAAGAAATGTCATTACCAATATCCGGAACAAATATTATTTGCACAAATAAAATAATTATATTTGTATTTTCTGACAATTTAGCAACCCCTCCCAAATGAATAGTAATTTATTAATATGTTTAACTATATTTTATAAATATAAATGTTTTAAAAAAGAAGCCCTGTCCTTAAATTAATATATAAATATATACATTTATTGTGCTGTGTATATAATTTGTAAATTATTATTTTTATTGTGAAATAATGTGGTTGTGAAATAATGTTATTGGCATCATTTTCTTTAAATATAAATATTTAAATAAAGACATTACAGAATGTTTATTTACAGAATGAACAGTATATAATTTGATAATTACATAATACATAATTACATAATAATTTTCTTTATGCAGTGAGTAACTTTGGGGTAAAATGACCTTTTTAAGTTCTTTGTAAAAGTCACCCATGTCTAAGCATGTTGTTTGTTTGTCCTTTTATAGATGGTGAAGGCCGGTTTGTCTGCCAGTTCTCTATTGGACAGAGGAGTTCAGATCATGGGCGATATAAATAGGTAATACGATACATATCAAATCAACAGTGGTTATTTCAGTATCATGCAACATAATTACAAGCATGCATTTTGTGTGCATGTATCTGCAGCACACCTTACACACCCCTTGACAAGCGGGCGATGGACAACACTGATGAGGACACAATGACAGAGGACTGGACCGTTGATCAGCCTCTTGCCCAGACGAGAACCACCGCCATTGTAGAGGTCAAAGGGGCGGTCAATGTGGTCCTGACTCCTTTAGTAGCTGAAGCATTAGACAGGTCAGACATTATAGCCCACCTTGTGCTTAAAGACCCCATCATACCAAAATTATGTTTTTTAGTTCTGTCTGATTATGATAATATTAAATAACCAAAGAGATAGACTGCATTTTTATGAACAACAAATTAGTTAGTATTATCATGAATAATGTGGAAGAAATACATTTTTTGTGTTGTTTCTTGAAAATGCATGACTAATCATGCACTACACAGATTTTTGTCCAAACAAATGCTCTCTGGAATGAGACTGTCCCTTCTAATACCAACTGCGTCTGACTTGCATCCAAATCATGGCTGTGATATGCCTAAAGCCTATTGGCTGTTTAGAAAAGGAACAAACAAGCCCTTCAGTATGTTTTGCTAACATAGGAAATAACTCACAGGAAAGAAAAATGTTCTCATCAAGTGATTTAATGGGGTTTTTATAAATGCCACATGGTTTGTGAAATCATCTTTGTTGTTCTGTCCAGGTACATTGAGTCCATGGTTCACTTTGCCAGTATTCGCCACCCTGCATCAATCCTGGATGACCTGCATGGGAAAGTGCTTAATGAAGTGTATCAGATCAGTAAATCCACTGTCTCTGAGTCTGTAAGTGATCAATACCAACATAGAGACGTGACGGCGCACTCTGTCTTTAACGTGATCATGATGAATGTTGCGTTTTCCAGAGCACAGCGAAAGCAGAGCACAAAATATCTAAGACAGAGGGAACCACCCCTGGGTCTCTGAGCACACCGCATGGACAAACCGATCTGTCGATCAAGCCTGACAATGTGAAGATAAAGGGTTTGCAGGCTAATGTCACGGTCCCAAAGGTACCTGTTTGTGGTGTCTGTGTGTGAAAGGGAGAAAGCTTGTCATGTAAAAATTGTAGACGTAAATATGTGCATGTTTTGGCAGGTGAATCTTTGTGTACTCCAGGCCTCCGTAGAAGAAGGTTCACCCTCCAATAAGAGTGTCACACATGTCTCTCTCGTGGCCTTGTGTTTTGACCGGATTGCTACTCAGCTGCGCATGAATAGGTAACTGTAAATGTTTGTCAGAATATTATAATTCTCGTATAAATAATGTATATATATCACACATACCCATATCATTTTGACAGTTTATACTGCTCTGACTGGTAATGTGTGATGTGTAGGGGTATAGTGGAGGACACAGAAAAGCCCTCTGCTATGATGGAGAAGTACTCGTCTGCGTCTAAGATGGCACCTCAGTCCAGCGGTTCTCTCCGCTCTAATGCTGGGATCGAGAAAGGCAAGGAGATCGCAGCCAAACTCAACATACATCGCATACACAGCCAACTCCGTGGCCTGGACTCATCAGGTACACACACACACACACACTCAAATTTATACCCATATATGCTATATTTATTGCACGTCTCTTGAGAATACTCTTGATTGGTCAGTTGCTGCATTCTGCAGTCAAATCATTTTGCATGACAACGTTATAAATGACATTGTCTCTCCTATCGCATGGATTTTCCATTTATTAGAAGTTATTCTAATATGTATTAGAATATTTAAATAAAATTAGAATATTTGATCAAATTACTCAATATTATCAATAATAATCTATGACAGAAATACATTTTTTTTGTGTGCATTTTGTTTATTGAATGCCTTTTGGAATTGTAGCTAAGTTTGTTCTATACATGTTTTTAACAGACCTTGGAGCTTGTGCCATCACTGCCATTCCTTTCAAGAAGTCTAAAGTTCTCTTCAGTTTGGAAGAAACTGATGACTTTGTTTTAGTGGATGAGACTGAGCCCTCCATCTCTACTGAGCACGTCCCAGAACACACCCCTGACCATGCCCGCTCTGGGGCCAGTCCTGAGAAATGGGGTTGGATTATGTTTGAGTGTGGGATTGAGAACCTCACTGTCAAAGGTATTATACACATGTGAATTTCAGAAAGCATTAAAGCTACACTGTGTAACTCTTTTAGTTTATTCTTAACTAAAAACACTTCGTTCTTTCAAAAATATATGTGTTCATTAATGTATATTTACTTTGTTCAAGTAATAAAGTATTCTCGTGAGTGTATAATATGCCATTGAAAATACATACGGGTAATGTCGGTCGCCATGTTGCCCCTCCATTTTGAAAGTACATTAGCCAAAGAGGGACATACACGTTAATTCAAGCTCGCCTTTCGCGTTTACGTTTGAGTTAACACTCATGGACGAGGTCGAACTGGAAGCCATATTAATCTTGGACTACATTGGCCACCGTAGGAGTTAAAACGAAATCAGAATTGAGAGGAACAGAAACTAATATTCCCTTGATGGTCATATACCTTTTCACCACTAGATGGGGGTAAAAATCACACAGTGTAGCTTTAAAAATGTGTATTTCAGGAGTAAGAAATGCATGTCTGGATCTTCTTCAGGTGGGCGGCAGTCAGGGGCCGTGCTCTACAGTGCTTTTGGGGTGATGGGGGAGGCCGACAACGGCGTCAGGATTGGAGTCTCGAAATCAAACGGTTCTAGTGGTTCTCAGACAGGAAGTGGCTACAGCACTGATGTATCTGATGATAACCTGCCCAATGATGGACAGAGCCCTACCTCTGAACCCAACAACAATTCAGACTCTGACGAACAGGTTCTCATATGTTGTTCACTGAATAGTTAATGGCCATTTACGATCTTGTTGGTTTTCCTTTGGTCTTTGTTTCTCACATCATTTCTCACTCACGTTTGTCTGTGCAGGATGAGGGAGTGGAGTCAGATGATCTGAAAAAGGACCTGCCCCTCTTGCCTCCGCCTCCTGACTCCAGCAGTATGAAGCTGACTATAAAGGAGATCTGGTTCAGCTTTGCTGCGCCAACCAACATTCGATCTCAAGCTCCCGCCATGTCCAGGTACATATGTATTATAATGTGTGTGTGTGTGTTTGTGTATATATAGGTGTATATATATATATATATATATATATATATGAAGAGTTCAGATGCAAAAGCCTCTAAATGCCATTTGAAATTTTCTTCTTTAATGATGATTTTTATCAAACTTGTATATTTTATTTCATTCATTTTACTTAAATAACAATTAATAGGTAATTATCATTGCCATTTAAGTGAAATTACTGAACTTAAATATACAAGTTTGATAAAAATCATCATTAAAGAAGAAAATTTCAAATGGCATTTAGAGGCTTTTGCATCTGAACTCTTCATATATATATATATATATATATATATATATATATAAAATATATATATATATATATATATATATTAGGGGTGGCACGGTTCACAAAACCCACGGTTCGGTTTGTATCACGGTTTTAGGGTCACGGTTTTCGGTTCTGTACGGTTCTTGTTATTTTTTCTTTTAATCTTTAACACTCCAGAAATGTACTTCAGCATGTGATATATAGCTTAATTATCCACACTTTAGGATACAGTATTAAAAATATATATATTATATTCATGCAATCATGCACAAACTGAATTTGACTCTTTGACTTTAAGCACATTTTGGGACTATCTCAGAGGAAAGCTAGGTGAGATTTAGATACAGCAAGAGAGAAGAAATTGACATGCTTTTTGTTTATTTGGCAAAAAAAAGGAGAATGTGTATCACTATCTCTACAAGAACTTGTGCATTTTTATCACATAAATCTTATTTACACAAAGAAATTAACTTTCATGTATCAACTGCTAACTTTTGTAGCTCTTACCAAAATTCTATCTTTTAAAAGAAAAAGAGAGCAACTCTTAAAACACTGTCTTTTAAATGTCAATATACATGAAACCTCATTGCCTATAGATAATAAAGCTATTGCAATAGCAAAGGCCATAAACATAAAGTGAAATTTAAGTTCAACCTCAACACAAAAACAGTATGAACAATGCTTCTATTCCCAAAATGTAAGGGTACTTTTTTCCACTTAAAATTAAAGTGCAGGGTTTGGAAACGTATGACTGAAGCTCTTATCTATACATAAAGTGCCACTGTAGTTAAATTAAAATATCATAACATGAAATCCAAAATGTTCCCACACACCGGACTTATACCATAGACTTATACGACGCTGGTGCGTCCTCCAACTCCCTCATCTCTCCCACTTGCCATTTCTCCGCGTGCCGTGACCTGCAGCGCTCCATACTCCACTTTTACTGGCTTGTTTATTAACTTGAACCGGCGCTGCACAGAGCGATCGGTAATGACATCAAATACCGCGAAAGTGATGAATGCATACGGAGCCGACTCGCGCTAGATTGATGTTATTCACCGATCGCTCTGTGCAGCGCCGGTCCAAGTCGAACAAGTTTATGTCGCGCGAAAAGAAAACACACGTCACATACGGGCACGAGGTTACATTGCGCATGCGTCGAACCGTGAGACGCACACGCGCTCCGAACCGAGACAAGCGAACCGAACGGTTCGGGTGTTTTTTCATGTACCGTGCCACCCCTAATATATATATATATATATATATAAATATAAAATAATATTAATAATAATAATTAATGAAATAGTATATAAATTATAATATATAAATATTATTAAAAAATACATCAAATATTTTTTTAACCAGAAGCCACTGATGTCAGATATATAAGCAATAAAATGTAATAATCTTAAATAAGATGTACACACAATTTTAATTGTGTTAAATTTGAATTAGTTGGGGACATATTTTATATTGTAAACTATAGATAGATGCAGAAAATCCCACTATATTTAATTTATGTTTGTCATTTGCATAGGGCTGTTATGTCGATAAAAGGAAAGGATCTCCATTTTGAACTAGAAATTCCCTCCCTGGACTCAAACCTCCCCCCATTTCTAGCCCTAAGTGTATATTTGGCTGAGTCTTTGATTCGGTTCAAAGGAAATCATGGATGTTTGTATGGCTAATGAGGTCTATGTTGTTGAATGTGTCTGCAGGCAGCTGAATCTCCTGAGTACTGCGACCCCTGCGGTCGGTGCGTGGTTGGTTCCCATTGACCAGCTGAAATCCTCACTGCAGAAACTGGACATGGAAGCCACACTACGTGTGTGCGCCGTCATGGGCTGCATTATGACTGAGGCCCTTGAGGTCAGACATGTTAATACTTACACTGTTAGAAACCCACCATTCAATCAGCAGAGTTTTGGACTTAAACAGCCTAATTTTTACGTGCATGTTTATGTGTGCTTCAATCCAATAGAAAAAGAGTATTCACATTCCATTTCGCAGCAAGTATAACCGCGTCACAAAGCGAGCCCGATATCTTCACGAGAACCCGTCCTGCTTACTGTGCAATATTCTACATCGCTACCTGCAGCAGGCCGATTACAGCATTATAGAAGAGGCCACCATGGTAAGTCTTTATGCCTACAGAGCACATTTGCATATGAATTAAATGTTCTTAAACTAATGCATTGTTGAATTCTTGATTCTGATTGGTTGATGCTCATTTCAAGGCTTCCAGGTTTATTGACTGCTGGAAAGTCTGAAATTACTTCACCCATGTTCTTCCAGATTGTATTAGCAGTGATGTCCTGGCTTTATTTTTTAAAGCTAGATAACATGAAAAATGCATTGCAATAATAAGTGGCAACTGCAGCTTAAGCAGAATAATCATTTATTTTACTGATATTATTTTGAACTGTCTGTCGTTAATTATTCCTTGCTAATCTTTTATTGCGTATGCATCTTTATCTTTTTAGAATGATGGACTGCCTGCTCTGGTCACCCTGAGGAAAGGTATGGTGGCACTTGCGCGTCAGTGGATGAAATTCATTGTTGTCACTCAGGGCTTTAAGGCGGTTGGTTTGCCGCGTCCCAATCAGCTTCCTAAGCCCAAAGAGCCAGACCCCACCGAGCCTGATCAGACACAGGCGCCGGATAGTGGTGCTGCCCTGCAGAGTGACACCAGCGCTGATGGAGCCGAGTTTGAGTTTGATGCGGGTAATTATATCAAATCTGAAATCTTATAGAGCTTTTTTTTAACCTTATACTTTATCTATATTTTGTGTTATTTATGTGCATTTTAGGCACTGTAAGTGAACATACAATGCTATTAGAGAGAGTATGTAGTCATCCTGCTCCTACCGGTAACTCTGCCCCTGTGACTGGAGTCGAGATCATAAGAAAACTGTCCAAAGCTCACGCTCACAACGAGTCTGGACTCAGGATCAAGGTTTGTGTGGGTCTGTTTTGTTGATACTGTGTATTCGTTTATGATGGATCTTGGTCTAAAGCTGGAAACTAAATGTGTGGGGGTTTTTTAGGGTTCCCACCCTTACCAGTCCCTGAGCTACACGAGTGGAGATACAGCAGCTGATTCTCCCGCTCATGTCAGTCGGGCAGGGCTGCAGTCCAATCATAGCCCTAGGAAAGAATCGTTGCTAAGCTACTTGACAGGAAGCATCCACAGTCTGCACAACCTGCTAGAAGCAACGCCTCTTCGAGCAAACGAACAAACCGCAGCCAAGAGCACCTCCCTGACACGTACAAGTACGTGATTTTCTTCATTCAGAGTTTATTGCTTTTGCAGTCTAATATTAGACGGGTTAATATGTGATCTAGGACGACGAATGCATTTTCTTGATATATGGTGTTTCCTGTGAGAGTGGATTTCTATAACCTAATTGTGTTTTTCTGCCCAGAGAGTGTCTGCATGTCAAATACCATAAAAGTACAGGGAAACCAAACTGGGTTGGAGACTAAAATAAAAATAAAATACAAACTAAAATCAGTAAAATGTAACCGTAGTTACAAGTGAATTTAGACTTAACACCATTTTAATGTACATTATGGAAAATGGGTATTCATTTTGATATTTTCTAAAGATAACAATTAACTGTTATTGTAATAACATTTTATAAATTATTAGTGTTATTAAAGAATAAGTTTAAGTGTTAGATCACGGTAATCCGGATGTTAAAATAGGGAAAATAAGTATGCAGAATTAATTTTCCAATTTCTGATACCAGTTAATGAAAGAGAAAATCTTTCTTTGTTTAACAAATATTTCCATTTAGTTTTTATCTATTATTATTTTTGTTTTAGTAATTCGTTTAGGGATGCATATATATATATATATATATACACACACACACACACATTCAATAAATATATACATTTATATATGCATCCCTAAAAAACTACTTTTACTGACTTGTGTATGACAAAGACTTGAGCAGTGTGCTAGTTAACTCTAAATGTCTTGTTTTTGGGTAGGCAACTTAGTGGGTGCAGACGTGTTAACAGAACACCCTCTTCTTTCGGAGCCGTTTTCTGTCAGCTTCTACAACTGGATGTCAAACGCTGTTGGCACCCGAACAGGCGGCAACATCCAGGACTCTCCCCTCAACCGCTCTCAACACAACAGCCTGCAGACCGGAGGTGAGCTATTAGAGTACTGACAGATGCATACAAGTATGAAGTCTGTTGACTGTATGTGAACATGCATCTATATTGGTCCATGATGCTGTGATTAGTGACTTATTTTAATTTTGCACTGAATGTCTTTAACTCTTTACATACAGGAGTGCTTCCCACCATTCCTTCTGCATCAGATTTTAACACCGTACTCTCCAGTGATCAGAACACACTGGACACACACTCTCAGCACTCACACTCCCAGCACAGCACAAGTCAGGAGGACCTGCTTGAACAAGATGAGACGAATCTCTGCCCTGCAGCTGTACAGCTAGCTGACGCACAGGTGCGTGCACCAGGAATACTTATGAATTTGTTATTGTTTATTTATGACCATGCACATGTTATTGCCTCTCTCATTCTCTGTGTGTGTGTGTGTGTCTCTTGGGATTATCCATACAGGTTGTTTTTAAGCCTTTGTTGAGTCACATTGGTATCCAGCCCCAGGATGCTCCTCCACTCAGTTACAAGATGTATTTTGGGGAGCACCTATCCTTCAGCGGCACTCTTGAGTGTTTGAGAGCTGACATTGTGGACTCTGACACCAGCAAAGAAAGGAAGAACAAACGAGCACACAGGTAACACAGCTGTCCCATGCCAGCTTTTATCTTTCTAGAGATATCCTAGAAAGAGTAACCCCCCCCCCCTTTTCAGAGTTTAATTTGGATAACTTTATTGTATTTATTTATTAAATGAATACAAATAATTGTGACTATTAAAATATTACTACAACTGCAAATGTCTTTATCAACACATTGTCAAAATGAATAACAGTGGATAACTGCACAAAACAAAACAGTTTTGAGTTGACCATTTGGACTTGAGTTGTACTTGTCAGTTGAACTTGTACCACAAACAAATGATCTGAAGTCATTTATTTCACATGTAGAGTAGATTTGTGGAGTTCTGACCATATGCAATGTTTTGGATCCGATTTGAACTTTCGGTGTGTTGGAATATTTGATCTTTAGCGGGTAGAATGAATGGGATCGCTTGACCGGATGTGATCTATGTGTTCTAATTGAAACTATGAGCCCAAAGCAAGATTTGCCACTAAAATGTCATTATTTAAACACTATTTCTGTAAAATAGTTGTTTATGAATATTATTACATTAATATTTACATTGACTATATATTGTTTTTCTCTCAAACATATTGGCGGCCATTTATTTTATCCTAATTTATCATTATTCATTAGTTTTACCATGGTGAAGTGGAACTTGGTCTCTTTTCCCCTTGCTGTCTCACAATGAACAATTGTCTACTTTACCTACTGAGTCCTCAAGCTGTCATAATGTTGCATATCGCTCATTTTAGTATGGTATGTTTTTGTGTTTCAGGCAGGGCATGGTAAATCTCCCCCCTCTTGATTTCAAGCCTGCCCTGATGATTGAGACTTTCAGTTTGAATGCAGTCGTGCTAGAGAAGTGCATGTCAACCCCTCCCTCTGCCAGCGCACTGTCTTTCCACGAGCTGAGCCGGAGACCCCAGGCTAGCGTGCACTGCCATTTTACCCTCGCTTGTCAGGCGATCCGCCAGCATGTGGATATGGCCCTTGTCCGCCTCATTCACCAGTTCAGCACAATGATTGATGACATCAAAGCCACACAGACTGACATCAAACTCAACCGCTACACTGCCGGCTCCTCTTCCCCCACGCCCACCAAGGCGCGGCCTTATCGAGAGTTCCGCTCGTCTGATTTCAGCCGTAGTTCTCGTGGGAGCCTGAACGGAGCTGCTCGACTGGGCACTCAGAAGAGCAAACGCACCGTGGTCGGGCCAGGCCTGGACACACTGACCAGGAATCGAGAGCCTCGTGGAAGGGGGACGCTGGGACGTTCAGAGCGAAGAACGTCAAAAGTGTCGCGGAAAGGTTCACGCGACGTGGCGGATCACATGACCATTCAGATGGATGACTCGGACTCCATCACAGTGTCAGAACAGAGCGAGCCGTCGGCCGAGTGCTGGCAGAACATGTACAAACTTCTTAATTTCTACTCGCTCATATCAGACCCCACAGGCATCCTGGAGAAGAACCAAGACAATGCCCTCTCAGGTAGGACGTCCTGCTCTGTTGATTTCAATTGCTTTTATGTTATTTCATGTTTTTTCTTTAAGAAAATAAAAGTAGAATGATCATTTTAAAAAGAAAATGAAGCCTATTTTGGCTATTTTTTTCAAGAAAATTTGTGATAATTATATATATTATTTAATATGAGTAAAGATTAATTCATTAAATTATTATTTTAATTTTACAATATTCTCAAATATGATTCTTTTAAAATTTTCAGTTCTGTGATGCAGTAATGAGCATGAGAATACAATAAATGTATATTAAAGACACCATAGCAGATTTTTGCACCATGATGTATAAATGCTTTACAGTTTAAATATGTCATTATTTGATTATACATTATGGTATAAAGATTTTGTGGTGATGATATTTAGAGAGAGGAGGCACTGTTAAAAATAATTTCATGCTGCAAAAAAAAAATATTTTTGCATCTTTTTTGCACCTAAAAATATCTGCCAGCATAATCATCTTTGCTTTTGGCCAAATTTGCCTTTTCAACTGTTTATTTTTGCTATTCAGAGGGTGGGAGGAGTCCTGCGGATCCTCCATGTCGATTGGTGTTTGAATCGGAGGGCGAGACACCGCCAAGTCGGCTGGGTCGTAGGCGGAGTTTGGTAAGCTCTGAGCCCCAGCATGTGACACTGATCGTGTTTGGCGTTGGGATGGTGAACCGCACACATCTGGAAGCAGACATTGGTGGACTAACCATGGAGGCAGAGCTTAAGAAAATACATGGCAGTTTTACGTTAAAGGAGAAAATGAAGGGTAATGCAAACAGCATTCACACACTTTTAAATATTATTTTACCAACTAAAACCTTGCAGATGAAATATCCTGTAATCCCTGTTCTCTTGCTGTAGACATTCTCCATCAGAAGATGACTGAGACCTGTGCCTCGGCCCATATCGGATGTGTGAACATTGTGCTTCTGGAAGGAATCTCACCAGATATACAGTCAGTAATTCCGTTAAGACCTATTGAGTGCTCTGTCAATTCTCATTGTCTACCTTTAATAAATTCATCTACGTTGAAGTGTGTAATTTTGATGGTCCACTCTTGACAAGAATTTTATTAGATTTACTACAAGTAACTTTGCAACTACATGTCAATTACCAGTCATTAGAGTATCGGTTGACTGTCTGCTTGATATCTACTAACACTTTATTTTGATAACAGTCTACTAATACCCTAATGAGAGTTAGTTGATATGTAGTTGCAAAGTTACTCATATTTAGTAGAACATCAAAAGTGAACAATTGAAATATAGTGTAACCAATTTTTCTTTCTACAATTATTTCCAATCCCAGTTTCACATGCAATACACTTTTTAGGCTGTTGGTTGACTTGCCTTAAGAATGTAAAGGCATCTTTCTGGAGCCTTAAGATTTGTTCTGTTTATTTGATCGGTCTGACAAATCAACTTCTGGACTAAATACTAAATTGTACAAAATTTAGGACCTCATATACTTTCTCTGAACGAGGGACCAAAGTTACAATGGTTAAAAAGTTTGAGGTCTGTAAGATTGTTTTAATGATTTGAATGAAACACCTCTAATGCTCACCAAGGCTGCATTTAGTAGATCAAAATACAGTAACAGTAATATTTAAAAATGTGATTTATCCCTATGATGGCAAAGCTGATTTTTATTTTAAAAGCTGGTTTTAATTAATTTATTGTCATGCATCAAGCATTAATTTGAAATAGAAATGGATGCTTGAATTTATTTTATTAATTCCAAACCTTGAATAATAGTGTGTTTAGAGACTAGCTTGTCATAGAGAGTTGACTACGTTTCTAGCAACCACATGACAGCAAACCAAAATGAAAAACTAAAAAATTCAGAAACTGCACCCTGGGAACGACCCTGGGAAGCTTCAGTAAATGTAAAATACGTTTCCAGTTTCAGCCATGCAGCCTTCAATGCAACGTCTGAGTCTGGATTTTAAATTTAAATGCACTTTATCCCTAGCATATTCTCTGCTGTTGTACTTTAAAGTAGTTTGAAGTCATTCTTGGATCTGTTTTTGTTCTGAAGGTCTCTCTTTGAAATGTATTTCTAAGAGTACAGATTTATCACAGCATATTCGTGACAGTTTTGAAATGTTCTGTGGATAACTTCCCCTCTTCTATATTCCTCCTCTCTACTCTCCTCTGTTCTCTCTATCTGTCATGTTTTTTTCTGCCTCTCTTGCTGGCAGACTAGAGGATTTTCCAACCTCACCTACCAGCACAACCAAGCAGGAGTTCCTGTATGTCTAAGTTTCCTCAGTAACCTTGTCCTTTTCTCCATTACCATTCATAACATCTCCATAATATTTGGATATCACAGTCCTTACATATGTCAATCATATGACACATGGTGTTCACTCTTACTATCGTAACATTTCATACCCTCTCTAACCCGCCACATCTTCAGACAGTGGTCAGTGAAATCATAACATCCTCATAACACTATTTTTCAAATCATATTTATTAATGCTGTCAGTGGGTAATATGAGTGGTTTTCTACTACCTAGTGACACTGAGAAAGGCTTTTGACTATCTGGACCACTTCACAGGTTATTCTGACCAAGATCTAACCACTTAATACGCTCATAAATCCCATTGATTGGTACATTTTTGGGGAAGAATCTGGTAATTTCAATAGAACTTCACTTGAATGGAAATTCAAGGGGGAAAAAATTTCCCCACTCTAAACGGGCCCTAGTTGGTCACATGAATTTGCAACAGAAAGCTGCTTGGCCTAACTTTAACTTTCGCTACATTATTGACATTTGACATTTTTGATGGTGCGGTTTTATCTGAAATCAATGATGCAATAATAATAGATTGGCTTGGAGGTCTTTGAGAACAGTTTTACCAAAAATATGTGAAATGTTTTACCCTGTTCTTCCAAAAGTAATAAGTACAGAGCATTTCACAAACTCATAACTCTATTATAAAGTTTTGCTCTTGGATATTGAGTTCATGTGCGGCTATGTGCCTCACACAAAAGTCTTTTAATATCTTTTAAATTCTTGGTGCTTCAAACCTGGGAAAAGCTGTCAAATCCAGTGATTAGTTCCTCCTCAAATGCGCTCATTGCTGGAGACCGGTGGATGTAATTGCATATGCGTCTGGTAATCTGATTGGAGCTTGTCATTTTGACAAGTGTTTGCCAATTTTTTTTTTCTGTGCAGTATGAATAAGATGGACAGTCCATGTTCAAGCTGTCAGGAGCTGATACTCTCCCATTCCCCTTTTCTATTAATCCATCTAGAGCTCTCTCTCTCGTTGCAGTCCCCATATCTACAAGGTTTCCATGTTCATGTGGAACATTTCACTTGTGAATTTTGCCAAAGTCTGTCTATACATTTCACAGACATTGTTTTAACATGCAAGCTGTGATTTCAAAGTGAGCATTTGAAGTAAGTTCCTTTTGTTTGTGTGTATTTTGTATGTTAGGACTGTGGTGAAGTGTAACATCGCAAAGTCCCAGGCTTTATATAGTGCCCAACGTGGGCTGAAGACCAATAATGCTGCAGTATTTAAAGTGGGAGCTATCTTCATCAACATCCCGCAACATCCTGCAACGCTGCACAGCATGATGGTCCGCAGCTCCCATCAGCTCTCAAAACAGATTTCAGACCTCATCCGTCAGCCCTCCAACATGTGAGGCAAACCTCTGCCACTTTCTTTTCACAACTCCTATGATTTTTTGTTGTTGCCGATATTAAACTAAAATCGGTTTGCTGTTTTCATCAGCCCTCCTCCCAACCGAGAAGAGACGCCAACACCGCAGCCCTCTGAAGTGAGTGTCAATCAAACTCCAGTGGAGGCCAGTGAGTTTCCTCAGCTGCCCGAGGGACTGGAGAAGAAGCCAATCGTGTTGAAGTTCAGCGCTATGCTCGATGGGATCACTATTGGCGCAGCCCTGTTGCCCTCTCTTAAAGCAGAATACAAGATGGGTCGCATGAAAAGCCATGGCATGACTGGTACCCACAATTCCACAAGCGAATTGCTAATTTCATAACAAACTAGAAAACGATTAACGTTTTGCTGTCTCCCTCTCACAGGTGCTCAGACGCGTTTTACTTTCGAACTGCCCAATCATAAGCTGTGTTTCCAGTCAAAGGTTTCCCCTGTGGACGTGTCGGCCATGCCCCCCACTGCCAGCCTAAATCTGCCTCCCGTCACCATGTCAGGACAGTACATTATACAGGAGCACGAGGGCCACAGCGACGCAGCCTGGGCCCCAGAATACAGCAACTATCTGCAGGGAAATTACTTGCGCTGTGTAGCTGAGGTGTGTCGTTGAACGTTCAATGAGAAATTGTTGTAAATGCTGTGCTTGATTATGAGTTTGTTCCAGTATTACACATGGATGCATATGGTTGAAATGGAGCATTTTAGAAATTTTTCTTCATTTTTAGATTGGGTCTTTTGAACACAACTTGACCACAGATTTGCTCAACCACCTAGTCTTCTTACAAAAGGTCTTCATGAAGGAGGTCAATGAGGTCATCCAGAAAGTCTCAGGTATGTGTGGTGAAGAACAAGTAGCATAAATGGATCCTTTTTCCATCTATTGACATATTTATCCATTTGAATTATTTATTTTTGTTTTTGTTATGCATTTAAATTTTTTTTGTGTGTTTCTGTAGGAGGGGAACAACCAATCCCGCTGTGGAATGAACACGATGTGTCAACAGATGACAAACCCAAAATCCTGCTTTACTCTCTAAATCTGACGTTTAAGGTTTGGACTTCCTTAAATGATGTATTTATTTCTTAAGGTGAATTCTGCAGACTTTTTGAATATGTTTCTCTTTTGCAGGGGATTCAAATGACGGCCACCACTCCTTCAATGAGGGCGGTGCGCTTTGAAACGGGCTGGATTGAGCTTGAGCTGTCCAATCGGGTTCAGTGCAAGACTACTCCCACAGGAAGTAACTACCTGAAGCTTTTTGGGAAATGTCAAGTGGATCTCAACTTGGCTTTGGGGCAAATCGTCAAACATCAGGTAGCCACTGTTACAGAAATGGGCATTTTTTCATGCTCTGTTATTCATTATTGCCATATAAAGTTTTCCTGTGGATGCATGAGAGCGTTATAACACTTTCTCTTGCAGGTGTATGAGGAGGCGGGGTCAGATTTTCACCAGGTGGCGTACTTCCGCACTCGAATCGGTTTGCGCAATGCTCTGCAGGAGGAGATCAGTGGCAGCTCGAACAAAGAGGCTGTCCTGATCACCCTCAACCGTCCTATTGTTTTTGCTCAACCGGTGGCATTTGACAGAGGTCAGTTCACACTTAGCTTGTTTTTTTTTTTTTTTTCATCTGTATCCATTGGAAATTTTGGGGGGTTTGTAATTGCGTATTTGTCTTTTTTATTAGCTGTGCTGTTCTGGCTGAACTATAAGGCTGCCTATGATAACTGGAAGGAACAACGCTTGGCTCTCAACTCGGATATTCATATGGCCACAAAAGAAGTGGTAGACAAACTGCCAGCGATACAGCAGACCAGCGCCCAGGCCTTCAGCACTCTCTTTCTACAGCTCACTGTCAATGACCTGGGCATCTGCCTACCTATCACCAACTCTACACAGGTGGATCCTCACTGATACATCTAGTTTTCATTCTTTTTATGTTTAAACTCTCAAAAGCATCATAGGCCTAAGTAGATCTTAGAACTATTTCCACCAGTGGTCTCTACGATCAACTTAGCTTATGATGCTTTTGAGATACTCAGCCAGATTGGTGAGAACCAATTGTGATTGGCCTTTAACTGTATAAAGTACTGCCTGTCTTGCACATTAATTTTTTGATTGATGTTAAATGTTTGTTACTGTTTCCTACTGTACATTAGGCCAATCACAGTATTGATTTTGACACTGGCTCAGCACTGGTGTTAACCATCGAGAGTACACTTATAACAGCCTGTTCCTCCGAGTCTCTGGTCAGCAAAGGACATTTTAAAAACTTTTGCATTCGATTTGCTGAGGGTTTGAGACAACTTGGATGACTGGAAACCTGAGATCAGAGGAGAACTGGTCATGAATGCCTGTGAGTAACACTCAGTGTTAATGTGTTGTATCTGTTTTTTGTCCTATAACACTCCCCTGATTCAATGTGGCTTTTCAGGTGTTGTTCCTGATGGTACTTATGAGGTTTGCTCCAGAACAACAGGCCAGGCCTCTGCAGGTATGTGTGAAATGATCTTCTGAATTAATTTTACTTGGTCTATTCAACAACAACAAAAAAATCAACAAAAAAATGATAAAAGAATACTTTTGCATGCACTGCTGTTCAAAAGTTTGTTTTTGAAAGAAATTGTATATGCTCTCCATTGCTATATTTATTTGATAAAAAATAAAGTAAAACAGTAATGTTATATATTTTATAAGAATATATTTAAAAAAAATATTTTAAAATTTTTTAAGCAGAATTACCCCAGTCTTTAGTGTCACATGATCCTTTAGAAAACATTGTAATATGTTGATTTGGTGCTCAAGAAACCTTTCTTAATATTTTTTTCAATGTTGAAAACAGTTAAACAATGTTTTTTAAACAATGATTTTGAATTGAATATCAATTGCAAAAAAATCTGCATTTATTTGAAATAATAAAGATATTTATAAAGTTACAAAACAAATACTGTTACTTTTATTGCTCAATTTAAATGAGTCAGTAAATCATAATTTCTCCCAAAGCGGGTTTTTTAACACCGATGGTAAATTACATGCATACTTCAAAAAACTGACTGACCCCAATCTCTTGAAAGGGAGTGTACATTGATAAAATGACCATAAAGACCATGCATTAAGAAAGTAAACATTTGATTTTTTTTGTCTGTATCCAATAACAAAACCTCGTTCAATACTCCAGAGAGCAGCAGCGCAGGGACGTGGACCCTTAATGTCTTGTGGAAGATGTGTGGTATCGATGTGCACATGGATCCCAACATCGGCAAGCGTCTGAATGCTCTGGGTAACACTCTCACATCTCTGACTGGTGAAGAGGACACCGATGACATCACAGACCTCAACTCGGTCAACATGGCCGACCTGTCAGACGAGGACGAAAGTGACGGCATGTCTCCCCCCATACACATGGTCAGAGCTCACATTTTTTTATGTCACTAACATTTGTTGGCTCACTTTTATTGTTATTGTAAAGTGTTTGTGGCTATTTTTCTATTTCTAATTTACATTGTTTGTTTCTTTTATTTTATTTTTGGGATATTAATGTCATTTTTGTGTTCAAAACACGCCATGTGAAGTTTCTTCTTAGGATTTGTGCTCAATGTCTGTGTAGTAGTGTGTGTGTCTGTGTTTGTTTTAAACCGGCCATGTTTGCAGTGTCCTGAAGGTGATCTCAGCCCCAGACTTTCGTTCAGGAAGCGGCTGGTGAACAGCATTCTGGGCATTAGCCCCAGCCCCCCTCCCCTCTCACCTTCTGAGTGTCGTAATATTTCTCCATCATCCACAATCACTCGGCTAAAGTCGAGAAGTGTTCGCCTGACATCCTCAGCCAATGCAGAACGAACTAGAAATCCCAGACCCCTGTCCTGGGGCTGTGTATGTACTTTAGAGCTCCCATTTGCTTTACAATCCTCTCTGTTTCTCTGTCACATTCTTTCTCTCCATATTGTTCCTACTCTCAGGTTGAACGTTGCTTTTAAAACTAGTCAAATTGCTCAAAATCTTGTTGAATTTTGCTTAGAACTCTTGGTTTTGAGCAACTGAAATATGTTGAGCGAGTCTGGAGTATACGGTTTCCTTCTGCTTTTTAGTCTCAATCTGATTCTTTCCTTTGAGAAATGAATGGCCAGTCACATCTTATTTCGCATTTCCAAAGGATGCATTTCTCATGAATTGTCTTTGCTTCATTAATCAGTTTTTTGCGGTGTGGTGTTTTGATTTTGTTTGTCTGCAGTGATCCACGCTTTTTTGACCGTTTTTAATATTCTGTGTGATTTTGGAACTGATTTTTATGCATGACCGTGCCTAGGGCTGGGCAGAATGATGGTATATCATGACCTTCTGGCATATTTCAACAGTTTTTTTTTTTTAATCATTTATGTAAATATGTAAATGTAACGATCACAAGTTTGGAAACGTTACTATTGTTATGTTTTTAAAGAGGTTTCTTATGCTCATCAAGCCTGCATTTATTTGATCAAAAATACAGAAAAACTGTAATATTTGTAAAAAATATTAGAAAGATGGTTTTCTAATTAATATACTTTAAAATATCATTTATTTCTGTGATGCAAATATGATTTTTTCATCAGCCATTCCAGTCTTCAGTGTCACATGACCCTTCAGAAAATCATTATAATATGCTGATTTATTATCAATGCCGGAAACGGCTGCTTAATTTGTTTTATTTTTATTTTTTGCAACCTACAATACTTTTTCCAATATTGTTTGATGAATAAAAAGACCAGCATTTATTTCAAAATGTAAATCTAACATTGTCTAACTGTAGTAATAAATCACAATATTACTGTATTTACTTTTTTATAAAATAAATGCAGCCTTAGTTGCGAATAAAAGACCTCTTTCAAAAACATTTAAAAATCGTACAGACACCAAACATTTGAACATATTTGTCAAAAAAAAATTATAAAGTGGTGTATAACATTTCTGAATCGCTCATACCGTGATTTCGTCATACCGCCCTCCCCTAAGTATGTCTTGCATCTAAATGTGTTATATTGACAGTAGTTTCCCTCTTACAGGAGTCTGTTGACCTGCGCAGACAGGCAGTTATGAGCAATCAGATAATCGACGCTCTGTGGACGGAAGTTCTCCAAGCGTCTGGTGGACATTAGAGAACTCAATGAGCAGGCCAAAGTCATTGACGATCTCAAGTAATGTCAGCCTAACATTAAGAACCAAAATACCTCAAATGATTGGCTTCTGCCTAAAATAAATCCCTATTTTTCTTGTCTTTTTCAAGGAAACTGGGTGCAAGTGAAAGCACCATTAACCAGGAAATCCAGCGCTACCAGCAGTTGGAATCTGTCGCTGTCAATGATATCCGCCGAGATGTGCGCAAGAAGCTGCGGCGCTCCAGCATGCGGGTAAGAATCGCTTTGATTCAGCTTTATTACTGCTTATTAATCATACACTGTAAATCTGGTAGAGATTAAATGGTTATGCTTTGTTTAGGCTGCATCTTTGAAAGATAAATGGGGTTTAGGTACAAGCCCAGCTACAGCAACAGCAGGTCAAAGAGCATCTCAACAACAGGCAGACCAGCAATGAAGAGGTCGGATAGACCCAGGTACACACACTCACTCACTCTCTCTCACAAACGCAAAACACTCACAGTTCTTTGCAGGTGGGTTAATGTCTTTCAGTTACACATCCTTACTTTCTTTCATTTTGTCTCTCTAAAGGGATGAATCTTCCCGATATCAAAGTGGACTCAGCATCTCCAGCACCAAGGGTTACCTTCAACATNACCAGTGGATAACTGCACAAAACAAAACAGTTTTGAGTTGACCATTTGGACTTGAGTTGTACTTGTCAGTTGATCTTGTTTACCACAAACAAATGATCTGAAGTCATTTATTTCACATGTAGAGTAGTAAGAGAGATTTGTGGAGTTCTGACCATATGCAATGTTTTTTTTCGGTGTGTTGGAATATTTGATCTTTAGCGGGTAGAATGAATGCGATCGCTTGACCGGATGTGATCTATGTGTTCTAATTGAAACTATGAGCCCAAAGCAAGATTTGCCACTAAAATGTCATTATTTAAACACTATTTCTGTAAAATAGTTGTTTATGAATATTATTACATTAATATTTACATTGACTATATATTGTTTTTCTCTCAAACATATTGGCGGCCATTTATTTTATCCTAATTTATCATTATTCATTAGTTTTACCATGGTGAAGTGGAATTTGGTCTCTTTTCCCCTTGCTGTCTCACAATGAACAATAAGTCTACTTTACCTATTGAGTACTCAAGCTGTCATAATGTTGCATATCGCTCATTTTAGTATGGTATGTTTTTGTGTTTCAGGCAGGGCATGGTAAATCTCCCCCCTCTTGATTTCAAGCCTGCCCTGATGATTGAGACTTTCAGTTTGAATGCAGTCGTGCTAGAGAAGTGCATGTCAACCCCTCCCTCTGCCAGCGCGCTGTCTTTCCACGAGCTGAGCCGGAGACCCCAGGCTAGCGTGCACTGCCATTTTACCCTCGCTTGTCAGGCGATCCGCCAGCATGTGGATATGGCCCTCGTCCGCCTCATTCACCAGTTCAGCACAATGATTGATGACATCAAAGCCACACAGACTGACATCAAACTCAACCGCTACACTGCCGGCTCCTCTTCCCCCACGCCCACCAAGGCGCGGCCTTATCGAGAGTTCCGCTCGTCTGATTTCAGCCGTAGTTCTCGTGGGAGCCTGAACGGAGCTGCTCGACTGGGCACTCAGAAGAGCAAACGCACCGTGGTCGGGCCAGGCCTGGACACACTGACCAGGAATCGAGAGCCTCGAGGAAGGGGGACGCTGGGACGTTCAGAGCGAAGAACGTCAAAAGTGTCGCGGAAAGGTTCACGCGACGTGGCGGATCACATGACCATTCAGATGGATGACTCGGACTCCATCACAGTGTCAGAACAGAGCGAGCCGTCGGCCGAGTGCTGGCAGAACATGTACAAACTTCTTAATTTCTACTCGCTCATATCAGACCCCACAGGCATCCTGGAGAAGAACCAAGACAATGCCCTCTCAGGTAGGACGTCCTGCTCTGTTGATTTCAATTGCTTTTATGTTATTTCATGTTTTTTCTTTAAGAAAATAAAAGTAGAATGATAATTTTAAAAAGAAAATGAAGCCTATTTTGGCTATTTTTTTCAAGAAAATTTGTGATAATTATATATATTATTTAATATGAGTAAAGATTAATTCATTAAATTATTATTTTAATTTTACAATATTCTCAAATATGATTCTTTTAAAATTTTCAGTTCTGTGATGCAGTAATGAGCATGAGAATACAATAAATGTATATTAAAGACACCATAGCAGATTTTTGCACCATGATGTATAAATGCTTTACAGTTTAAATATGTCATTATTTGATTATACATTATGGTATAAAGATTTTGTGGTGATGATATTTAGAGAGAGGAGGCACTGTTAAAAATAATTTCATGCTGCAAAAAAAAAAATATTTTTGCATCTTTTTTGCACCTAAAAATATCTGCCAGCATAATCATCTTTGCTTTTGGCCAAATTTGCCTTTTTTCAACTGTTTATTTTTTGCTATTCAGAGGGTGGGAGGAGTCCTGCGGATCCTCCATGTCGATTGGTGTTTGAATCGGAGGGCGAGACACCGCCAAGTCGGCTGGGTCGTAGGCGGAGTTTGGTAAGCTCTGAGCCCCAGCATGTGACACTGATCGTGTTTGGCGTTGGGATGGTGAACCGCACACATCTGGAAGCAGACATTGGTGGACTTACCATGGAGGCAGAGCTTAAGAAAATACATGGCAGTTTTACGTTAAAGGAGAAAATGAAGGGTAATGCAAACAGCATTCACACACTTTTAAATATTATTTTACCAACTAAAACCTTGCAGATGAAATATCCTGTAATCCCTGTTCTCTTGCTGTAGACATTCTCCATCAGAAGATGACTGAGACCTGTGCCTCGGCCCATATCGGATGTGTGAACATTGTGCTTCTGGAAGGAATCTCACCAGATATACAGTCAGTAATTCCCTTAACACCAGGCGTTAAGACCTATTGAGTGCTCTGTCAATTATCATTGTCTACCTTTAATACATTCATTTACATTGAAGTGTGTAATTTTGATGGTCCACTCTTGACAAGAATTTTATTAGAATTACTACAAGTAACTTTGCAACTACATGTCAGTTACCATGTCAGTCATTAGAGTATCGGTTGACTGTCTACTTGATATCTACTAACACTTTTATTTTGATAACAGTCTACTAATACCCTAATGAGAATTAGTTGATATGTAGTTGCAAAGTTACTCATATTTAGTAGAAGATCAAAAGTGAACCATTGAAATATAGTGTAACCAATTTTTCTTTCTACAATTATTTCCAATCCCAGTTTCACATGCAATACACTTTTTAGGCTGTTGGTAGGTTGACTTTCCTTAAGAATGTAAATGCATCTCTTTGGAGCCTTAAGATTTGTTCTGTTTATTTGATCGGTCTGACAAATCAACTTCTGGACTAAATACTAAATTGTACAAAATTTAGGACCTCATATACTTTCTCTGAATGAGGGACCAAAGTTACAATGGTTAAAAAGTTTGAGGTCTGTAAGATTGTTTTAATGATTTGAATGAAACACCTCTAATGCTCACCAAGGCTGCATTTAGTAGATCAAAATACAGTAACAGTAATATTTTAAAATGTGATTTATCCCTATGATGGCAAAGCTGATTTTTATTTTAAAAGCTGGTTTTAATTCATTTATTGTCATGCATCAAGCATTAATTTGAAATAGAAATGGATGCTTGAATTTATTTTATTAATTCCAAACCTTGAATAATAGTGTGTTTAGAGACTAGCTTGTCATAGAGAGTTGACTACGTTTCTAGCAACCACATGACAGCAAACTAAAATGAAAAACTAAAAAATTCAGAAACTGCACCATGGGAACGACCCTGGGAAGCTTCAGTAAATGTAAAATACGTTTCCAGTTTCAGCCATGCAGCCTTCAATGCAACGTCTGAGTCTGGATTTTAAATTTAAATGCACTTTATCCCTAGCATATTCTCTGCTGTTGTATTTTAAAGTAGTTTGAAGTCATTCTTGGATCTGTTTTTGTTCTGAAGGTCTCTCTTTGAAATGTATTTCTAAGAGTACAGATTTATCACAGCATATTCGTGACAGTTTTGAAATGTTCTGTGGATAACTTCCCCTCTTCTATATTCCTCCTCTCTACTCTCCTCTGTTCTCTCTATCTGTCATGTTTTTTTCTGCCTCTCTTGCTGGCAGACTAGAGGATTTTCCAACCTCACCTACCAGCACAACCAAGCAGGAGTTCCTGTATGTCTAAGTTTCCTCAGTAACCTTGTCCTTTTCTCCATTGCCATTCATAACATCTCCATAATATTTGGATATCACAGTCCTTACATATGTCAATCATATGACACATGGTGTTCACTCTTACTATCGTAACATTTCATACCCTCTCTAACCCGCCACATCTTCAGACAGTGGTCAGTGAAATCATAACATCCTCATAACACTATTTTTCAAATCATATTTATTAATGCTGTCAGTGGGTAATATGAGTGGTTTTCTACTACCTAGTGACACTGAGAAAGGCTTTTGACTATCTGGACCACTTCACAGGTTATTCTGACCAAGATCTAACCACTTAACCCTTTAAGACCGACGGGAGCGTCGGCGCTCCGGTTTGCGTGTGTCTGTTTAACAGCCTATAGAAACTGAAACCAAGTGGCTAGCTCAATCATTCTTTTTGCATACAAAACCAGAGATGTAAAATGGTCAGATCAAGCCTCCAACACGCGCATGTTGCGTTGTTTTCACCCTCTAATGAGTCTGTACAAAATGCGCAAAATGCGTTTCTCAAAAAAATCACAAATATGCATTGCACGTCTTTGCACACATGATCTGTAGATCTGCGATTGATAGTAACGCCTTCCGATGGCGCATTGAGGTATCACGTTCGGTGCACATGGCAGATCAAGCCTCAACATGCTCATGTTGCGCGGTTTCCACCCTCTAATGAGTCTGTAATAATGCGCGTTTCCAAAAAAACACACAAAAATGCATTGCACGTCTTTGCATACATGTGCTATAGATCCGCAATTGATAGTTGCGTCTACCGATGACGGATCCATGGACGGATCACGACATCACTTCCTGTGCACTTTGACCCCAGCTTGTGTCGCATGTAGTGACGTCAGAAGCAGCGTCTTTTGGCCATGCGTTTGACTGAATATATAATAGGTTTGACTCGCACTTGACTCCCATCTGCTATATGTTCCTTCTTATCATTATTGTCTTTTTACCATTGCTTCATTCTATCATTTCTTTCTCGTTTATACACTCGCAAATACAAGCACATTCACACACACGCACCCCCCCCACACACACACACACGTGCGCGCATGCGCGCAACGTTATGTCAAAATGAAAGTACACGGACGCACCGAGTTCCGTCTGCTCATCGCCTTTATTTATTTATTTTATATTTATTTTATTATTAATTGTTCTGACAGGGTCTATTTAATTTATATTCTAACCAATTCAATGTTCAATCAATATTCAAAAGCAAAATGTTATCTGTTTGACCACAAATGTAATTGAATATTTTACATATGGCATTTTACTCCCCTTTTTTAAATGAGTGTATCTTAAAAACTAATTGATGTAAACAGTTCAAATCAATTCTGTATAGTTTTAAACTGTTTTATGCACATTTTTCTCATTGACAAGTTTGAGGTTTACATTTATCATTTTTTTGTATTGAATAAAATATATAGAATTTTTTTTAAAAAAATTGTTTTTCTTTTTGTTTATTGCATTTTTGAGATATTTATCTAGGTACTATTGATTTATTACAAGCATAGCCTTCAAGTAGAGAAAGTAAGGATTATTTTGATGTATGGCATATGAAAATGCTCAAAAGAATGACAGCACAGCATGTAAAAATAGAAAGATATACTCTGGTGGAACTGTTCTATGGCAGGTCATAAAGGGTTAATACGCTCATAAATCCCATTGATTGGTACATTTTTGGGGAAGAATCTGGTCATTTCAATAGAACTTCACTTGAATGGAAATTTAAGGGGGAAAGATTTCCCCACTCTAAACGGGCCCTAGTTGGTCACATGAATTTGCAACAGAAAGCTGCTTGGCCTAACTTTAACTTTCGCTACATTATTGACATTTGACATTTTTGATGGTGCGGTTTTATCTGAAATCAATGATGCAATAATAATAGATTGGCTTGGAGGTCTTTGAGAACAGTTTTACCAAAAATATGTGAAATGTTTTACCCTGTTCTTCCAAAAGTAATAAGTACAGAGCATTTCACAAACTCATAACTCTATTATAAAGTTTTGCTCTTGGATATTGAGTTCATGTGCGGCTATGTGCCTCACACAAAAGTCTTTTAATATCTTTTAAATTCTTGGTGCTTCAAACCTGGGAAAAGCTGTCAAATCCAGTGATTAGTTCCTCCTCAAATGCGCTCATTGCAGGAGCCCGGTGGATGTAATTGCATATGCGTCTGGTAATCTGATTGGAGCTTGTCATTTTGACAAGTGTTTGCCAATTTTGTGGATTTTTTTTTTTTCTGTGCAGTATGAATAAGATGGACAGTCCATGTTCAAGCTGTCAGGAGCTTAAACTCTCCCATTCCCCTTTTCTATTAATCCATCTAGAGCTCTCTCTCTCGTTGCAGTCCCCATATCTACAAGGTTTCCATGTTCATGTGGAACATTTCACTTGTGAATTTTGCCAAAGTCTGTCTATACATTTCACAGACATTGTTTTAACATGCAGGCTGTGAGTTCAAAGTGAGCATTTGAAGTAAGTTCCTTTTGTTTGTGTGTATTTTGTATGTTAGGACTGTGGTGAAGTGTAACATCGCAAAGTCCCAGGCTTTATATAGTGCCCAACGTGGGCTGAAGACCAATAATGCTGCAGTATTTAAAGTGGGAGCTATCTTCATCAACATCCCGCAACATCCTGCAACGCTGCACAGCATGATGGTCCGCAGCTCCCATCAGCTCTCAAAACAGATTTCAGACCTCATCCGTCAGCCCTCCAACATGTGAGGCAAACCTCTGCCACTTTCTTTTCACAACTCCTATGATTTTTTGTTGTTGCCGATATTAAACTAAAATCGGTTTTTCATCAGCCCTCCTCCCAACCGAGAAGAGACGCCAACACCGCAGCCCTCTGAAGTGAGTGTCAATCAAACTCCAGTGGAGGCCAGTGAGTTTCCTCAGCTGCCCGAGGGACTGGAGAAGAAGCCAATCGTGTTGAAGTTCAGTGCTATGCTCGATGGGATCACTATTGGTGCAGCCCTGTTGCCCTCTCTTAAAGCAGAATACAAGATGGGTCGCATGAAAAGCCATGGCATGACTGGTACCCACAATCCCACAAGCGAATTGCTAATTTCATAACAAACTAGAAAACGATTAACGTTTTGCTGTCTCCCTCTCACAGGTGCTCAGACGCGTTTTACTTTCGAACTGCCCAATCATAAGCTGTGTTTCCAGTCAAAGGTTTCCCCTGTGGACGTGTCGGCCATGCCCCCCACTGCCAGCCTAAATCTGCCTCCCGTCACCATGTCAGGACAGTACATTATACAGGAGCACGAGGGCCACAGCGACACAGCCTGGGCCCCAGAATACAGCAACTATCTGCAGGGAAATTACTTGCGCTGTGTAGCTGAGGTGTGTCGTTGAACGTTCAATGAGAAATTGTTGTAAATGCCGTGCTTGATTATGAGTTTGTTCCAGTATTACACATGGATGCATATGGTTGAAATGGAGCATTTTAGAAATTTTTCTTCATTTTTAGATTGGGTCTTTTGAACACAACTTGACCACAGATTTGCTCAACCACCTAGTCTTCTTACAAAAGGTCTTCATGAAGGAGGTCAATGAGGTCATCCAGAAAGTCTCAGGTATGTGTGGTGAAGAACAAGTAGCATAAATGGATCCTTTTTCCATCGATTGACATATTTATCCATTTGAATTATTTATTTTTGTTTTTGTTATGCATTTAAATTTTTTTTGTGTGTTTCTGTAGGAGGGGAACAACCAATCCCGCTGTGGAATGAACACGATGTGTCAACAGATGACAAACCCAAAATCCTGCTTTACTCTCTAAATCTGACGTTTAAGGTTTGGACTTCCTTAAATGATGTATTTATTTCTTAAGGTGAATTCTGCAGACTTTTTGAATATGTTTCTCTTTTGCAGGGGATTCAAATGACGGCCACCACTCCTTCAATGAGGGCGGTGCGCTTTGAAACGGGCTGGATTGAGCTTGAGCTGTCCAATCGGGTTCAGTGCAAGACTACACCCACAGGAAGTAACTACCTAAAGCTTTTTGGGAAATGTCAAGTGGATCTCAACTTGGCTTTGGGGCAAATCGTCAAACATCAGGTAGCCACTGTTACAGAAATGAGCATTTTTTCATGCTCTGTTATTCATTTTTGCCATATAAAGTTTTCCTGCGGATGCATGAGAGCGTTATAACACTTTCTCTTGCAGGTGTATGAGGAGGCGGGGTCAGATTTTCACCAGGTGGCGTACTTCCGCACTCGAATCGGTTTGCGCAATGCTCTGCAGGAGGAGATCAGTGGCAGCTCGAACAAAGAGGCTGTCCTGATCACCCTCAACCGTCCTATTGTTTTTGCTCAACCGGTGGCATTTGACAGAGGTCAGTCCACACTTTGCTTGTTTTTTTTTTTTTTTTTCATCTGTATCCATTGGGAAATTTTGGGGGGTTTGTAATTGCGTATTTGTCTTTTTTATTAGCTGTGCTGTTCTGGCTGAACTATAAGGCTGCCTATGATAACTGGAAGGAACAACGCTTGGCTCTCAACTCGGATATTCATATGGCCACAAAAGAAGTGGTAGACAAACTGCCAGCGATACAGCAGACCAGCGCCCAGGCCTTCAGCACTCTCTTTCTACAGCTCACTGTCAATGACCTGGGCATCTGCCTACCTATCACCAACTCTACACAGGTGGGTCCTCACTGATGCATCTAGTTTTTTTTTTTTTATGTTTAAAGTCTCAAAAGCATCATAGGCCTAAGTAGATCTTGGAACCATTTCCATCAGTGGTCTCTACGATCAACTTAGCTTATGATGCTTTTGAGATACTCAGCCAGATTGGTGAGAACCAATTGTGATTGGCCTTTAACTGTATAAAGTACTGCCTGTCTTGCACATTAATTTTTTGATTGATGTTAAATGTTTGTTTACTGTTTCCTACTGTACATTAGGCCAATCACAGTATTGATTTTGACACTGGCTCAGCACTGGTGTTAACCATCGAGAGTACACTTATAACAGCCTGTTCCTCCGAGTCTCTGGTCAGCAAAGGACATTTTAAAAACTTTTGCATTCGATTTGCTGAGGGGTTTGAGACAACTTGGGATGACTGGAAACCTGAGATCAGAGGAGAACTGGTCATGAATGCCTGTGAGTAACACTCAGTGTTAATGTGTTGTATCTGTTTTTTGTCCTATAACACTCCCCTGATTCAATGTGGCTTTTCAGGTGTTGTTCCTGATGGTACTTATGAGGTTTGCTCCAGAACAACAGGCCAGGCCTCTGCAGGTATGTGTGAAATGATCTTCTGAATTAATTTTACTTGGTCTATTCAACAACAACAACAACAACAACAAATATCAACAAAAAAATGATGAAAGAATACTTTTGCATGCACTGCTGTTCAAAAGTTTGTTTTTGAAAGAAATTTCATATGCTCTCCATTGCTATATTTATTTGATGAAAAATAAAGTAAAACAGCAATGTTATATATTTTATAAGAATATATTTAAAAAAAATATTTTAAAAAATTTTAAGCAGAATTACCCCAGTCTTTAGTGTCACATGATCCTTTAGAAAACATTGTAATATGTTGATTTGGTGCTCAAGAAACATTTCTTAATATTTTTTTCAATGTTGAAAACAGTTAAACAATGTTTTTTAAACAATGATTTTGAATTGAATATAAATTGCAAAAAAATCTGCATTTATTTGAAATAATAAAGATATTTATAAAGTTACAAAACAAATACTGTTACTTTTATTGCTCAATTTAAATGAGTCAGTAAATCATAATTTCTCCCAAAGCGGGTTTTTTAACACCGATGGTAAATTACATGCATACTTCAAAAAACTGACTGACCCCAATCTCTTGAAAGGGAGTGTACATTGATAAAATGACCATAAAGACCATGCATTAAGAAAGTAAACATTTGATTTTTTTTGTCTGTATCCAATAACAAAACCTCCTTCAATACTCCAGAGAGCAGCAGCGCAGGGACGTGGACCCTTAATGTCTTGTGGAAGATGTGTGGTATCGATGTGCACATGGATCCCAACATCGGCAAGCGTCTGAATGCTCTGGGTAACACACTCACATCTCTGACCGGTGAAGAGGACACCGATGACATCACAGACCTCAACTCGGTCAACATGGCTGACCTGTCAGACGAGGACGAGAGTGACGGCATGTCTCCTCCCATACACATGGTCAGAGCTCACATTTTTTATGTCACTAACATTTGTTGGCTCACTTTTATTGTTATTGTAAAGTGTTTGTGGCTATTTTTCTATTTTTAATTTACATTGTTTGTTTCTTTTATTTTATTTTTGGGATATTAATGTCATTTTTGTGTTCAAAACACGCCATGTGAAGTTTCTTCTTAGGATTTGTGCTCAATGTCTGTGTAGTAGTGTGTGTGTCTGTGTTTGTTTTAAACCGGCCCATGTTTGCAGTGTCCTGAAGGTGATCTCAGCCCCAGACTTTCGTTCAGGAAGCGGCTGGTGAACAGCATTCTGGGCATTAGCCCCAGCCCCCCTCCCCTCTCACCTTCTGAGTGTCGTAATATTTCTCCATCATCCACAATCACTCGGCTAAAGTCGAGAAGTGTTCGCCTGACATCCTCAGCCAATGCAGAACGAACTAGAAATCCCAGACCCCTGTCCTGGGGCTGTGTATGTACTTTAGAGCTCCCATTTGCTTTACAATCCTCTCTGTTTCTCTGTCACATTCTTTCTCTCCATATTGTTCCTACTCTCAGGTTGAACGTTGCTTTTAAAACTAGTCAAATTGCTCAAAATCTTGTTGAATTTTGCTTAGAACTCTTGGTTTTGAGCAACTGAAATATGTTGAGCGAGTCTGGAGTATACGGTTTCCTTCTGCTTTTTAGTCTCAATCTGATTCCTTTCCTTGAGAAATGAATGGCCAGTCACATCTTATTTCGCATTTCCAAAGGATGCATTTCTCATGAATTGTCTTTGCTTCATTAATCAGTTTTTTTGGGGTGGTGTTTTGATTTTGTTTGTCTGCAGTGATCCACGCTTGTTTTGACCGTTTTTAATATTCTGTGTGATTTTGGAACTGATTTTTATGCATGACCGTGCCTAGGGCTGGGCAGAATGATGGTATATCATGACCTTCTGGCATATTTCAACAGTTTTTTTTTTTTTAATCATTTATGTAAATATGTAAATGTAACGATCACAAGTTTGGAAACGTTACTATTGTTATGTTTTTAAAGAGGTTTCTTATGCTCATCAAGCCTGCATTTATTTGATCAAAAATACAGAAAAACTGTAATATTGTAAAAAATATTAGAAAGATGGTTTTCTAATTTAATATACTTTAAAATATCATTTATTTCTGTGATGCAAATATGATTTTTCATCAGCCATTCCAGTCTTCAGTGTCACATGACCCTTCAGAAATCATTATAATATGCTGATTTATTATCAATGCCGGAAACGGCTGCTTAATTTGTTTTATTTTTATTTTTTGCAACCTACAATACTTTTTCCAATATTGTTTGATGAATAAAAAGACCAGCATTTATTCAAAATGTAAATCTAACATTGTCTAACTGTAGTAATAAATCACAATATTACTGTATTTACTTTTTTATAAAATAAATGCAGCCTTAGTGCGAATAAAAGACCTCTTTCAAAAACATTTAAAAATCGTACAGACACCAAACATTTGAACATATTTGTCAAAAAAAAATTATAAAGTGGTGTATAACATTTCTGAATCGCTCATACCGTGATTTCGTCATACCGCCCTCCCCTAAGTATGTCTTGCATCTAAATGTGTTATATTGACAGTAGTTTCCCTCTTACAGGAGTCTGTTGACCTGCGCAGACAGGCAGTTATGAGCAATCAGATAATCGACGCTCGTGGACGGAAGTTCTCCAAGCGTCTGGTGGACATTAGAGAACTCAATGAGCAGGCCAAAGTCATTGACGATCTCAAGTAATGTCAGCCTAACATTAAGAACCAAAATACCTCAAATGATTGGCTTCTGCCTAAAATAAATCCCTATTTTTCTTGTCTTTTTCAAGGAAACTGGGTGCAAGTGAAAGCACCATTAACCAGGAAATCCAGCGCTACCAGCAGTTGGAATCTGTCGCTGTCAATGATATCCGCCGAGATGTGCGCAAGAAGCTGCGGCGCTCCAGCATGCGGGTAAGAATCGCTTTGATTCAGCTTTATTACTGCTTATTAATCATACACTGTAAATCTGGTAGAGATTAAATGGTTATGCTTTGTTTAGGCTGCATCTTTGAAAGATAAATGGGGTTTAGGGTACAAGCCCAGCTACAGCAACAGCAGGTCAAAGAGCATCTCAACAACAGGCAGACCAGCAATGAAGAGGTCGGATAGACCCAGGTACACACACTCACTCACTCTCTCTCACAAACGCAAACACTCACAGTTCTTTGCAGGTGGGTTAATGTCTTTCAGTTACACATCCTTACTTTCTTTCATTTTGTCTCTCTAAAGGGATGATCTTCCCGATATCAAAGTGGACTCAGCATCTCCAGCACCAAGGGTTACCTTCAACATCGACACGGTATTGTGCATGCATACATCTGTGTGTCTGACTCTGAAATGTCTGACTTTGTTCATTTGAAATGCTTTATGCATCTTTTTGTCGTCATTCTAATTCTGCATTCACACCATGTCATAGTTACCGTAAAAAAAGTGTTTTTTGCGGTTCTTTGATGTCGTATACTGATCGATCTGAACAGTGGTCAGGTGGTACAAGTCGTAGCTCTCGGAAAATTGCAAATTCTACAAGCACATGAAGGCTTTTTGTGGTAATTACGACATGGTGTGAACGCACCTTAATGTTCCATCTTCATGTTCATTGTTTACATGTCAACGAAACTGTAAAGTTGAATAAAGCTTTGCTTTTGATATACACTACCATTCAAAAATTATACTATTATTCAGCAACGATGCATTAAATTGAAGTTAAAAAAACATTTATAATGTTAGAAAATAGTTATATTTCAAATAAATGCTGTGTTTTTTACCTGAAAACATTTATTATGGTTTCCACAAAATTTTTTTTACTTTTTTTTTTAAAGTTTTTACTTTTTCAATATTACAGAATTTTTTATCAAATTTTTTTGATTACTGTTTTGATTTGCATACATTTAAAAAATAAAATTTGAATGGTTGTGAACTTAGAAAGACACACACTTCACACTGAGTGGTTTTGTAGGTTCACCTGAAAGTACTTCACTATTGACTTTATAAAAGCCACATGTATAGTATGCATATAACATGCTGAGCACGTATGATCATGTACTGTATAGCTCAGAGTACCGGTTTTATTTATGGATGGGTTTTTCATAAGTTTGTTTGTGTTTAAGATGGAAACCCCAAACCCAATCCCCAGTCCAGCTGACTCTGTATTTAAGGTACCAGAGAAAAACGATCAAATCAAATTCTTAAAATCACCTCTGAATCTCTGCATGAAAATCTTCTTGTGCCAAATCAAAACTGCTTTTCAAAACTCGACCAAAAATCATCTTTCTCGATCAAATGGTTTTAGCCTATTTGGATCTTAAGTTGAAAAGCGTTCTTATTTTCTCTTGATCTCTCTTCACACATTGATTCACACTCTCCCTCGCTCCATATGTTGAAGCTGCTCTTGTGCTGTGTTTGTAATAACTAATCAGCTCTTGTTTTCTTCAGCATGTCTAGAACTTGATCTGAGTTCATTGTATTGCTCATGATGTCTTGTGGTCTGTCCATCTTTTCATCTCTTCATTTCTCATCCCTCTCTCCTCCGCTGGGTCTTAGTGGAAAGCATGAATTGGGAAAAGGAAAAGCTTTCTCCAAAGTGCTCTGTGGTTATGAGCTATCAGCCAACAGATTCAGTTTGAATACGAGTCAGAATCAGACCAGTTAGGTTTGAGAACATTACAACAGATACAGGGACAGAATAATGAATGGATAGATCGATTAATTGAGATAATTTGTAAATGTTAGGCAGTTGGATAAAGGAATTTCTATTTTGTATGGTAGATCAAGTTTCAAACTTACCGGTAAATTAGCTTTAATCTAATATTTTGACCCGATAGAATTGCTTCGTTCCCATTGAGCTTTTAGACACGTCTGGGTTGTATTTCACCAAAAAGTCACATGGAAAGTAATAGAAATTGTAACATGAAGCCTTGTTTCAGTGCCATTTCCACAACAATCAGTTGTTATTGTGTTACTATAAGTAATATTTCTGTTTTGCAGCAATGAGAATCGCCATTGAGTATAATGATAATTACAAACTCAAGTAAAATGATCTTAAAATTCTGTCCGATACCAATATCCAGCAATTATTTTGATAATTGAAAATGGGCTTATAATTAAAATTCTATACTATTTTGTGTACGAAAGGTAACGCTTTACTCGAAGAGATAGTTCACCCAAAAATGTAAATTCTTTCATCATATCCTCACCCTCAGATTTTTCCAAACTTTTATGAATTTCTTTCAGATATTTTGAAGAATGTCAGTAACCAAACAGTTGATGGGAACAAAAAAAAAGAGAAATCCCCAAATATTATAATGCATTTATAATATTGGTTACAATTTTTTATACAAAAATAAAATATTTATATAATGCATTATATATAGACCATTTTGCAAGACTGGTCCAGAAGCACTTCCTGTTTCAGTTTTTTAACACTGCATATAAGCTGGGATAAAATACAACCAATAGAACATATAAAACTGAATCAAAAAGTTAAACAAACATCTTTAAGATTTTTTCTTTACATGTGAAATAAAGAAAATGGTTACAAACTGAAACAGGAAGTTCTTCTGGACCAGTGTTGTTTACATCTTGCAAAATGGTCTATAAATAAAGGCTTTAAGATTACTAAAAATAAAATCCATTGTTTTATATACTGTTAGCGAATTTAGGCATCAAACAAAACGGTAAATTTAATGGTAAATTTAACAATCAATAATATCAACCATCTTAATGATACATATTAAAATACAATATTATTTTTTCTCTTTTTATTATTTGGTGAAATGTGACCTGGATATGTCAACACTCGCTTAGTTGAAGAGACGTAAACCCTTTAGAAGAGAAATGAATGAATAGATGGATAGATGCGTAGATAGATCTTCTGACTGTTGGCTTTCACTGATTGTTGAAGTTCCCGGAGGAGACAGAGGTGGACCTGTTGTCTGTCACCATTGATGATCCTGCCCATTACCCATCATGCTCAGTGTTCAGTGCCCCTGGCACACCAGCTGTCTTTTCACCAACCATTCCCTTCCAGCCTGATGACAGTCGGCGGGACGACCTCTCCTCGACTTCATCAGAGGACTCGGACAAAGATGACGAGTTTGACAGGGAAAGGGCGCAGAGCTATTATCGCAGACCAGGGTGCGTTAAACACCGCGCTTGCAAACACTCGACAAACACAATTACACGCTCCCTAAACTGATGGTCTGTATATTTGTGTTTCTCAGGGGCTCTCAGAGGAAATCATCTGCACTTTCTGCATTATTCAGCGAGCGCTGGCCCAACGCAGCCCCTCAGCGTGGAGGATTAGCTCCGCCCACTGAACGGAACATTGACTTTGAGCTGGACGTGCGTGTTGAGATTGACAGCGGCAAGTGTGTGCTGCACCCCAGCACCCAGCCACCTGAACATGAAGATCTCGCAGTGAGGAGGTAAAGAGACAACCCAAAATGCCCACACATCACACATTTTGAAAATAAAATGAACTGCAGTGCTGAAGTAATGACATATTCTTGTAGGACAACATGGAAGTTAGCGTCACCCTGGTTCCCTCTACAAAAACACAATAGGATTTTTTTTTTTTCAATGGATTTTGGATTTTTTGACCAACAAAAGATTGACATTTTTTGTTCATCATCATAATCTTTACTAGCAAACACAGCTTTTATGAGTTTTGAAGCTTAAATACAACAGTAACAATATAAACATAGGCTATAAACAAACTTTTTCAGAGTTCATTTAAAGCTGTTTTCAGTTTGAGTTAGAATAGTTTGCAGTAGCATGGTTATAAAAACAACGAGGCTATGAAAGCAGACTGGTGTGTAGATGAGTTTAGCTTTCGGCATGATGACTTTTTATCTTCCTAACAACCACATTTGCCTACTTGTCAGCAAATAAATGCTTAAAATACACCATTAATTGTGAATTTTAATGCCGTAGAATAAAACTTGAAAATATCTTGAGCTTGTGTTGACCACAGACCTTATTTCACTCATTTAACCAAAAAAAAAACCCATTGACTTTAGGAACTGTAAGTGCTAACACGTTTCTAAGTTTCAGATTCAGAGCTCCATTCTTCTGGATGTAATCTCGATCAGAGCTGTAAAGCCTTTCTGTGTGTCTAAAATATCTCTCTGTTGTTTAGGAGTTGTGAGCGGAGCTCGAGGAGTCTGGATCAGGACTCTCCTCCTAAGAAGCGAAAGCTGCAGCACAGTTTAGGCTCCAGCTCTCATCTGCTGAATGCTAAGCGAGTACCTACCTCTCTGCAGAGCAAGACCAGTGACATTGAGACCACTGTCTTCTACATCCCTGGAGTGGATGTTAAGGTCTGCAGTGGATCTAATGATATGGTTTAAGTAAAGCCGATTGCACACAGAAGGATTTCAGCTACAATTTTTCAACCTGAGACTTAAGTTTTTGGGTGTACCACCACAAAAAACCTACTCAAATACACTCATAGCCATATCTATTTCAATGCGTCTGATTCGCACTTGAATTTATGCAACCAAGATGTCTGATGGGTTACAATGCTCAACCGCTGCAATAAAACATGTTACAAATGTAAAACTGCAGTAAACCTAAATGGATGCAGTAATGTACACTTTATGATTGGTTAACTGTAGCACTCATTTTCTCCTCTCTGTTTGTTTACAGCTACATTACAACTCTAAAATGTTGAAGACGGAGTCGCCCATTGCCTCGCGTGGATCTTCCCTTCCCAGAACCCTTTCCAAAGAGTCCAAACTGTATGGTATGAGAGACTCACCCGCACCAGCAGCCTCAGGCCCTGGAAAGACTAATACACTCCTCCCTCCCCCTCCCCCACCCCCTCCTCTCCCTTCAGGTACACACTCTCTTCATCTGTCGTCCTCTGCCGCTGGCTTCCTGCATGCGCTTAGCCTCATCTCTGCACTGGAGCCCACAGCTCTGAGCTCGACTGTAGCGCATGACTATCTAGGAACAGTGTTCACAGTTGCCACTCTGCAGGATCTTCTATTTTTCTTCTTCTATTTGGTTCTGTTGTTTTTCATGTTGATGTGATGTTGCTTGGTTTGAGACAAGCTTCCATTTATTAGTTGTTGTTATAATATTATTATTGGCAAAAAAAATTTCTTGCTGATAGCAGCTAAAACTAGAAAAATAAATCATAGTTTATACACTACCGTTCAATTATTACAATAAAAAAAACTGTCATTTTATATTTTATTTTATACTGCAATGCCAAGTTGAATCATACGATCCTTCAGCAATCATGCTAATATGCTGATTTGCTGCTCAGGAAACATTTGTTAATAATATCACTTATATTATAATATAATATTTAGGATTCTTTGATTTTTAATAGAAAGTTCCAAAGAGCAACAATTTTTTTGAAATACAAATATTGTGTAACCTTATAAATGCTGTCACTTTATTCAGTTCAATGTGTCCATGACCTGAAAAGTCAAAGTATTCATTTCTTTAAAAAAAAAAAAACTTTCTGACCTCAAACTTTTAAACAGAAGTGTATAATAGTAAAATATATATAATTTTTTTGTAAATATAAATAAATATCAAGTAAACAAGCATCACTATCACACGTTCACAGAAAACTTGCCATTTACCCAGCCTCATGTTGCTCTGATCTCAACACAAAATGAGTTTAGGTTTATGTTTAATTTTCTCTTTTCCATATAATGAAAGTAGATGGTGATATCTAGGCACTACTATCCATTGATTGCCGTTAAATTTGAATAATTTTCCCTTACTATACTTGCATTTTATTCTTGTGTTATTAAATGTATTTATTTTTTTGCTGCTCTGTTGTGCTTCATGCATATTACTTGCATGCTGGAGGTGAATTAGGTGCCAAATGTTTGCATCCTGCTCTGAATCTTTTGCTTTCATTGCATGATAAATTAGCAGCAAAGGATTTTTCTCAACTTTGTGTGTGTGTGTGTGTGTGTGTGTGTGTGCGCGCAGCTAAAGGTAAACCGAGTGTAGGGGTGAAGATGGCTAAGCTATATGCATGGGTAGCCCTACAGACATTGCCAGAGGAAATGGTCATCAGCCCATGTCTGCTGGACTTCCTGGAGAAAGCGCTGGAGACAATTCCCATCACACCAGTCGACAGGAACTACAGTAAGTGTGGTTTCAGATTTATCATTTGAATATCAGATGATAAAATCACAATTCTGTGAGGTTTTTGTGCGTATATTTTATGCTGATATTAATACATGTGTGCTTATGTAGCCCTCAATGTTCCCGAGGAGGATGTTGGTCACTTTGATTCTGTGGATCCTTTGGAGGAGTCTCAGGTGTCTCTTGTGTCTTCTGCTGGAAATTCATACTCCTCCTTCCCTGTGGATGTGGTAGTTTATGTCAGGGTGCAGGTATACCAGCGTTCCTCCATTTGTAGTCATTAGTGACCATCTCAAAGCGGCCTGTTCATTTCATTGTGTTTGTTCCTCAGCCATCTCAGATCCGGTTCAGTTGTCTCCCCATGTCTCGAGTGGAGTGCATGCTGAAACTTCCCTCTCTGGATTTGGTATTCTCATCCAATAGGGGTGAACTTGAGCCCACCAGCGCCACCCATCCATCAGAGGGCCAACACACACCTTCCTCCACACCTCCATCGGTACACAATGCCAACAGAGTACCTGGAAGCAAAGGTATGAATGTACGGTCACCGTTATCTTGCCAAGTAAGACATTTTCCTGGATCAACATATTTTGTTGATCCTGGAACAACATTCCTGTCTAATACATAATGCAATAATTTTTAGAGAGATTTATTAGTACTGTAATCTTATAACTAACCAGTTGAACAGTACAAGGAGATATGAAACTGCTCTTTTAATTCCTTCAAATAAATAAACGTTAGACGTTAAATGCATTACTTAAATTAATTAAAGCGATATGAAAATTCTTACATATAGCCCATTTTAAAGGGTGTGTTGACTAATGGTAATCATTGTAACTTCTTCCATCCCTCAGGTCCATCTACAGGGTTAGGCAGTCCTCTGGGGCGGAGTCGCCACCACAGCAGCCAATCAGATCTGACAGGCCAACCGATTAACTCATCAGGTCTGAGTTTCACTGCCTGTATGTCAGATTTCTCACTGTATGTGTTTCATCCTTATGGAGCCGGCAAACAGAAGTCTGCAGTTACTGGCCTTCCACCTGGACCAGGACCACTGGGTGAGAGCTCATTGCAAAGACATTACTCAGAAATATTGTGATGGTTATTATAAGTAGAATAAGTTTATATACTGTAAAGATAATTCTAAGATTCTGGACATGACTTTGGTTCTTTCAGGAGCAGTGGACGAAGAGGCCTCTTCAGTGACGGGCAGGAAAGATTCTCTCTCCATCAACTTGGAGTTTGTGAAAGTCAGTCTTTCCAGGATGAGACGTACAGGATGCCCTGCATTTATTGATACTTCTGTTGCTAGCAAGGGTGGGAAGATGGACACCACTCTTATCAACATCTCAGGTGAGTAATTCAAAATGACTTACTGGGATATCCTTCAGGATGTCCGATTGTATCAGCTCACTAAAGCCTTTTCCGGCTGTATACACTACTGTTAAATGACTTATCAAAAGTTTAGGGTCTGTAATTTGTCTTTTTTTAAAAGAAATTTGTATTTTTACTCCACATGAAGGCATTAAATTGATCAGAAGTGACAGTAAATACATTTATAATGTTAAAAAGATTTCCATTTCAAATGTTCTTTTGAACTTGTGAATCCTGAAAACAAAAATATTAAGCAGCACACCGGTTCAAAATCGATTATAGAAAGTGTCTTGCATTATTATATATTCCCAAAAAGATTATGTAACACTGAAGACTGGGGAAATGATGCTGAAAATTCAGCTTTGCATTACCTGAATAAATTAAGTTTTAAAATATATTCAAATAGAAAAATAAATATTAATACAATTTATAATAACTGACAATATTACTGTATTTTTGTGCATAAGAGACTTTTTTTTTCACACAAAAAAACATGAAAAAGTCTTACCAACCCCAAACTTTTGACATGTAGTGTTTAACAATACAATTCAATAAAAGGGAATCAATCATTCAGTTGCATCAGTAACTAATTTGTGACATTGTGTGTTTGTCTGTCTTCTAGCGGTGTGTGATATCGGTTCTGCATCCTTCAAGTACGACATGAGGCGTTTGAGTGAGATTCTTGCATTCCCACGAGCTTGGTACCGCAGAAGCATTGCCAGGAGGTTATTTCTAGGAGACCAGACCATTAACTTACCAGGTTATACATACTGTATATACTCTCAACATTACACAACTGTTCAAAAGTTTGGAATCACCATTAAGTTTTTGCAACCAACAATTCTGTACCAAATCAGCAACATAGTAAATCATTATTAAGATGTTAAATGGTGTGTTGAATACTTTTTATATATATATTATATATAGACCATTTCACAAGATGTAAACAACACTGGTCCAGAAGCACTTCCTGTTTCAGTTTTTTAACACTACAAAAAAGCTGGGATAAAATACAACCAACAGAACATTTAAAACTGAATCAAAAAGTTAAACAAACATCTTTAAGATGTTTTCTTTACATGTGAAATAAAGAAAACAGTTACAAACTGAAACAGGAAGTGCTTCTGGACCAGTCTTGTTTACATCTTGTGAAATGGTCTATATATATTTTTATTTTATTTATTTATTTATTTATTTTTTCAGTTAAAAAAAGTTGTGCTACAGAAGTGTGGCAATCACAATAAAATGTTTTTCAGTTGCCGGAGTATTAAGTACACTTCCATTTCTGGTATCAGGCATTTTATCAGTCTGTTGTTCTTTTGAGAGATGAAGGCTATTTCCTGCACTGCTGTCTAGAAAGAAGAAAGCAAACTGGATTTAACAATGACAGATGCCTGCTGGACAACGAGCAGTTTGAGAAAGTGACCCCTCACTGGTGCTCAGCAGGCAGCTTCATTGAACTGTACCTGTCAAACAGCAGTGCACAATCTACAACAGTGAAGAGATGCCTTTTAGGCAGAATTTAATAGACAAAAACTAAATCTGAAACTAGAGAAAAAGAGTGGAAAAGGCAAAAGGATTGGATGTACCTAAGTCTGAGGTATTGAGCTGTTTAAAGGGATAGTTCACCCAGAACGAACAATGTTCTCGGCTTCTCGCACACGCTACGTTCTATGTTTGTGTTTTTTAATGTGGGTAAGATAAAAGCCTAAATTATATCTGTTCATAATATAAAGCAATCATATTTCTTCACAATACTTTGATTAAACCACTCCATTCATATGACCTTTTTGAATCTTTTAATGGAGGGACAGAAACCTCTCAAAAACCATTGGTTAATCTTCAAAACACAAAGATATCCCAAGTCTTATGGGTTTGCAACCACATATGGGTGAGTAAATGATGACCGAATTTTCATTTTTGGACGAACTATCTCTTAAAGAAAAAGCATGTGATTAAACTTCTCCTGGATATCTTAATAAAACCGAGTCCAAACTTTTGAACAGTAATGTATACTTACTCGCCTGTCCCAGTCATCTTGCACCTTCAGATGATTGCTGGAAAGCGTTGATGATAACTGCTGTAAAATATGCTGTAGCCTCAGGTCCTGCCACGCCAGATTCTGTGGAGAGCATCGCACAGCACCTGTCTCCCGAATCCAGCCGAAAAGCGTACTGGAGGACGTGGGACGGCCAAACCACTCAACACCCCTCCGTCTTTACTGATGCCACACCAAACCACGCACACCTCAAATCACCCGCCACCGGACGTTCCCGCAGCGTGTCTGACTCTTCAGCACCGCGCAGAGGTACACACACACAATCTGCTAGAGGTTTGTTGATGATGTGCAGCTCTGTGGCTCTACCATCCTTATCTATTTAACCAATTGCCTGTGTGTGGGTTTCTACAGACTCTGTCACAAAGACCGCCATCCCGTCGTTTCGGAACGGAAAAGCAGCAGCAGCACAGCAGGGTTCGCCATGGGAGACTCTGGTGGTGTTCGCCATCAACCTTAAACAGCTTAATGTCCAGATGAACATGAGCAATGTCATGGGCAACAATACGTACGAGACCTACAGAAACTATTTGATTAGTGCAGCTGTTAATATGCGTAATACATCTCTGTTTGATGTCTATTTATGTATGTGTGTGTTTACACAGTTGGACAACAAGTGGGCTGAAGAGTCAGGGCCGTCTGTCAGTGGGAAGTAACAGAGATCGTGAGATCAGCATGTCTGTCGGACTGGGTCGCTCCAAACTGGATTCCAAAGGAGGAGTGGTGGGTGGCAACATTGACGTAAACACACTGGAGATGGTCTGTAAGTGTACCCTTAATCATTTATTTATTTAGATAGAATGTTTTCGCTTTAAAAACGAATTCCTGAACACTTATTTTCTCTAATTATCAGACGATTATTATTTTTTTTAAAGTGTTATAATAACGCAATATATCAAAATTAGTACGTTCTGTTAAATGGTGTTCTACCATGGTCCATAAAATGAGTTAATTTAATGTCAAGTTAAATAATATAATAATATTTTTAGTATAATTGAATATAATATGAGTATCAATTCATTATTTATTAATTAAATACAAATTACCCATTTCAGATCTCAATTGAAACAACTGATTATTAGAACCAACCCTGCACCCTATGTTTTTTTTAATGATCCTTTGCATGCATGTTGTTCGTACAAAAGAAAAAACAATCTGTTGTACTTTTGTTTTTATTGCAACTTTAAATACACTTAAAGCATGTCTGAATTCTACTTTAATTAAAAGTCATTAAGGCGAATTGCAAACGAAAAGGCTTTTTAGATCCATTTTTGTCTGACACAGAACTCTGCTGATAACCGATTGCTCTTCTAGCCCATATTTCAGAACATCCAAATCAGCAGCCCAGTCATAAGATTCAGATCACCATGGGCTCCACAGAGGCCCGGCTGGACTATATGGGCTCCAGCATATTAATGGGTATCTTCAGTAACGCTGACCTGCAACTACAGGACGAGTGGAAGGTGAACCTCTGCACGACTCAGGCCAGTCTATCTGAGAAAAGGTATAAGAACTGCCAATCATACTAGCTTATCAACTAATACCTCAACCATACCAAACGTTCTCTGATGTGCTTCTCCTCCAGTGAGATCTTTGTACATGGAGACCTGCAGTGGGACATATTCCAGGTGATCATCTCCCGCTCCACCACCCCTGACCTGATAAAGATCGGCATGAAGTTGCAGGAGTTCTTCACACAGCAGTTTGACACCAGCAAGCGGGCCCTGTCCACCTGGGGCCCGGTGCCCTACATTCCTCCCAAAACCCCGGTCATCAACATGGACAAAGGAGCAGCTGAACTCTGTAAGTGTGCTTGTGACCATTTTACTTTTAAAATACAATTTTGTTGACTAACATGAATGTCTTTTTCCTCTCAGATATGGATGCAGCTCATCACAGACATTGGCCCAGTGTGCTGAAGATGGTGGCTGGATGTCACATTTCCCTCTTCCAGATGCCACTCCCAGAGGATGCTGTGCAGCTGGGTGGCTCGATGAGTCTCCATGGCAACCACATGACTCTGGCTTGTTTCCATGGTCCCAACTTCCGTTCCAAGTCCTGGGTGCTGTTCCACCTGGAAGAGCCAAACATCGCCTTCTGGACTGAAGCACAAAAGATCTGGGAGGATGGTACAGACACAGTGCTAGTTTTCCGTCCACCCATCCATCATTTGCCTTTTCATAAATTGTAACTAACAGGTTGTGTTTGTTTTTTGTCTAGGCTCCAGTGATGATTCTACATACATTGTTCAAACCCTTGACTTTCACCTTGGGCATAATACCATGGTAACCAAGCCTTGTGGTGCTCTGGAGAGCCCAATGGCAACCATCACTAAGGTTACCCGCCGTCGTCATGAAAACCCCCCGCATGGGGTGGCTACAGTCAAAGAGTGGTTTAACTATGTCACTGCCATGAGGAACGAAGGTAAATGTTGCACACTCAATGGCTCTGTTCCAAAACCTAGTGAGCTGCCTTGCTGTCTTTCGCCTATATTGTAATATAGTAAATATTCTGGTTGACACTTCACCATAATAGGTGGTGGTATTGCAAAAAAAATTGATGATGCAGTGTGTAGCTACTACTGCCACACAAAATCATATCTGCAATATTTTGGTAGGTGATGAAATAGAGACACAATTCCTGCTTAAAAAAAAACATTTTAAAGTTAAGACACCCCAGTTTGCAGGAAGTGGAGATCAACAGTAAGTACTTTTTCTTCACCAATGGTTACTAGTAACGGAAATGGTGATAAAATGTTCCGTCGACTAGCTTTTTTTTCCCCCCATGACTAATATGAGATGATGGCGAGACGACAATAAGGTCATTAAACGATAACTGTGGCTATATCAACAAGAAATATTGTTGATGTATAAAAAGACAACACTAAAATGTAGTGAAAAAAAAAAAGAAACTACAAAAATATTTCAGACTGCCGTTCAAGTGTCTACTACAAACTTTCATGTTTGCAGTTGTTGATCGTTTGAATACCCCAATCAGAGCTTTTCTGTTAAAAGAACGCATTTTCTGCCCGAAGTTTAACTTCATCTTTGGAATCTGGCATCCATGCGCACTTATTTCTGCTCCTTTTTTGGTTGTTTTGATCAGGAGATTCAGTACTTTTTCAGAAGTTGGGTAATAGCGCCCCCTACTGTATAACAGCGGAAACGCGGTGAAGCGTTGTCATAAATGGTGGGGAAAGAGATAAAATGCTGTCTATATAGATGGTTAACTGAGATTTTAGAACAAAGCTAGTGCTGAGCAGCAGACACATGTTTATGATTACCATATTTGCCGTTCTTGAAATGGAATATTTGTATTTTCCTTGAAATAATTCTCTCTTTTCTTGCGTCAGAGCTGAACTTGTTGCGTAACGTGGATGCAAACAACTCAGAAAGCGACGCAGCAGCAAAGAACTCCAGCCTTCTGAGCGGCTTCAGGGGCTCCTCCAGCTACAACCACGAAACCGAAACCATCTTCGCCCTTCCCAAAATGCAGCTCGAGTTCAAATCCATTCATGTGCAAGACCCAGAGGAACCTTCTCTCAGTGGTACAGACTAATAACCTGCCAGATGTTTATATTACATTATTATTATTCCTAAGGTTGCTCGACGCTTGTATGGCATGAAACCCCGCTGACTCCTCACTGTGTTGCAGATGCCGGCAGTAAGCCTAAAGTGGAGTGCAGTGTGGTCACCGAGTTCACCGATCACATCTGTGTCACCATGGATGCAGAGCTCATCATGTTCCTGCATGACCTGGTGTCCGCATACTTGAAAGAAAAGGAGAAAGGTGAGATTATGAAATCCAGATTCACTCGGTTTCCCTTCTTCATAAATGTCCCTTGTCACTGAGCACGTGCTTGTGTTGCAGCTCTCTTTGCCCCGCGCATCTTCGCGTCTCGACCTGGTCAGAAGAGCCCCACCGCGCAGCAGGATGAAGCGTCATCAGAGAAGAAGGAAAATGAAGAGGTGGTGAACTACACCACAGTGGACTGGAGAGAGTTCCTCTGCAACACATGGCATCTGGAGCCCACACTACGGTAACATGACCTCAACTCATGTTCCACACAGACCTTTCTGATGTCAAATAGACTTATGTTAATAGACGGTTGCTGTGGGGATCTGGGTGGTTGCTAGGTGGTAGTTGAGTGGATGCTAGAAAGTTCTGAGTTATTGCTAGGACATTGGGTGGTGGTATACATACTCACTCACCATCATTAGCACAGGTTTTCCCTTGTCATACATTATTGTCTGTTTGACGTGTAATGTTTCAGGCTGATCTCGTGGACGGGCCGTAAGATTGATCCGGTGGGGGTGGACTACATTTTGCAGAAGCTGGGATTCCACCATGCCAGGACTACAATTCCCAAGTGGCTGCAGAGAGGAGTGATGGACCCTCTGGATAAAGTTCTGTCCGTTCTCATCAAGAAACTTGGCACGGCATTGCAGGATGAGAAAGAGAAGAAAGGTCAAAGAGACAAAGATGAGCATTAACTCAGACACTTCAATGTATTAATACATTTCCGCTACCAGGAGCCATCTTTTCTTTTCTTTTTTTTTAACCCTGTCTGAAACCACTGGATTTATCGCAAACTACTGTACAGCACTCACAAATGCATCACAGCCATTGCTATACTGTGTGAACATTAATGTTTGCCCTGGTTCATATGGCTATTACTCTTGGGTGACTGAAAGTGTTGTTTTTTTGTTGTTTTATTTTATACATTTGAATTTTCAGATCAATTAAAGATTGGATAGCTGCTGCTGAATGCCATTTGGAGTTTTAACATGGATTAAATGCACTTACACGTTGCTGACACTAACAGATGAGCTGTGATATTAAGCTACAGTATACGAGTGTGCTCTTGAAATCGGTTTACATGAGTTCAGAGGAGCGATAAGCATCCTGTGTTCTTTCTCGAGGTGAATATACTGCTGAATATTGCCAATCAGACTTTTTAAGTAGTTTTATTTAACGTTTTAAGAGCAAACAATACAGGTAACCGCTGACCAGGTGGTAAAGTGTTCTTTCAGCCAGCAGAGGAAGCGTGAACATCCCTATGCCTAATTATTCCTTTGAGAGTGACCAAATTTTATGCCTGATCATAACACATTTTGAGGGATGATTTAGTGGTGATGCCTCAGATATTCCTGTGAATACACCAGAACCTCAGATTGTGCTGTGTAATGTGAACTGGCCTATAAAGCAAGGCTCTAACTTAAATAGACAAACAAAATGTAAATATCTTAAATGCATAAGCTGTTACCCATGTTAGGCCTGTGGTGATAGTGTTTTTCCTTTTTTCATAAGTGCAATAGACCATTATGTACAGAGGTAAATATGTTCAATGTGCTGATTTCTTAACTGAATAAAATCATTACTACTAAAATGAATGATACTTGCAAGTGATGCTTTTTTCTTCCACATTATACTTCACTGATTTGTAAACTAAGATGAGTTTTGTTCATTAGTTGCTGTGGTAATGAAAGGTTGCCAACAGCATTGTGCTACACGGATGTATTCTTGCAGGCTTTAAACTAGGTGAAATGCTCCAGAAGTTTAAAAAAGGGGGCTGACGTGATGTCCATTGTAATGGACGCAGGGTCCGAATGGGTTAAATGGATGATGATGGGCTCCTTAGAACTAATGTGTTCAATTGGACATTGCACAGCTGATTCAAATCACTTGCATGTGACTGATTACACGAGGTAAAACGATATAAATACTGTTCGTTTTCTCACAAAAACCGCTCGTTTCGTGTCTAGGCATTAAATGTTTAATTTTGACTTCTCTGTGCATGCTCTTTGACGTGGACCCCTGAACCTGCATTATATGACTGACTGACAACACCGTGTTGACCTAAAAACGTCAAAATTGAAAATACTGTGGAAACAAAGACACCTACATCGTGGATGCCCTTGAGGTAAGCTAAAACATGTCAAAAATTAATTTCAAAGTGATATATCCCTTTAAAGAGCTCCAGTCATAGCATTTGAAATGTTCCTATTTTTGTTTTGGGAGTTAACGTTACCAAAAACAGTTTAACGTGCATATAATATGCATTTAATTTTACCTGATTTGGTCAACGACTCCCAAATGACTCGTTCGACGATTAATTTTCCCAAACACCTCTTTTGAGTGAGTCGACTCTCACTTTTGAAAGACAATAACTTTATATACGGTGCACTTTCAGATATAAATCTATGCAGGATGTTTTCATTCCCTTAGAGCTATATTCCACACTACATGAACAGTCATTTTCAAAAATCCATGATAGGTGCTCTTTAATTTACACTCTGATCGTCCTCTCCTTTTTAATGCACTTTTAAATGTAACTAATGGTTTCACAAATCCAGATTTTTGTTAAAGTGAAGCTGCAGTAGGGAAGATTCGTCTAAAATGGTTGAAGACTGCAAGTTGACTCACTAGTCATGTTTCCATCCACTTTTCAATCGAATTGTCTGAAGTTCGGTAAAAAAAAAATAAAAAAAACTCGTGCGAATAAAGCTGGTGAAGTGTGTTTCCATCCAACGGCTATAAAGCGAATAAAAACCAGTACGTAATGACGTCACATGCTGTTTTGCTATCAAATTGGTAACGAATTGATTTGAGACATTTTAAGGTGTTTCCATTAATTTTCGCACTGAATCGAACAACTTTCAAGCAGACTTTTGCGAACAAAGTTTTGGTAGACAAAACGGATCGCGCCATCTAACAACAATGATCAATATTTCACAAGTTGTAGCCTAATAATGCTTATGTGCCAGCTGATAGCGACATATGTAATTAAAAATGAGTTTATTATTGATTTAAAAACAAGTATTGCTTCTGCTAAAGAAAATAGTATGCTCCGTCTCTGAACTGCGTCCATGGCAACGGTGTGTTAGCAGCGCCCCTGCCAGTCTGTTAACAAGAAATAACAGACCACATTCTACATTAGAATTCAACCAAGCCACGTAATAACCGTAAAGCAAACCTAACCTTAGAACACCTTGCTGCTGATGCAGATGCACGTCGACAACGGAGGCCAGTCTGTGGTTTGGGAACGACAGCACTCTACCTGTTCTGATCGTGGTTCAGATCACGGAAACCCTTTGGTTGAAGCATTTTTTTGCTTTGTCTTTGTTGACATCCGCCATGTGTGCGAAAACAGAGCGGGAATACTGGCCGGAAATGAACTCGTCTTCTTCTATGCTTTTTGGCGTGTTGCAACCATAAAAGGGCCTAAAACTTAGTCGCAATTCATTATTTATTCGACAAATAACGTTTCCATCAGCTTTTATCGCATTAGCCGTATATCGATCAAGATAAAATCCGATGAGACCGAACGTATTTCATTTGAGTCGATATTCATGAAATTTAATCGAATTTTACTGTTTCCATAAGGTATTTTTCATTCGATATCACTTAATTCGGTTAATGTAAACATGGCTACTGACGAATTGTTGTGGTAATTGACCTTATGCACAGCTGCACTACATCCTGAACTTAAGCCAGCTCCTTGTTTCCTGTCTGTCATTATTGGACAAATTGATTAATCCAGGTGTGCCTGACCTCAGTAGTCACGGCAACAATAATCAGACACACCTGAATTAATCAGTTCGGCCAATAATGGCAGACAGGAAACAAGGAGCTGGCTTAAGTTCAGGAAGTAGTGCAGCTGTGCAAGAATTTCGTCTCCATGGTAACAGGCAATCATTTTATCAGATCGACTGTCTCCAATGCCAAAACTGTCACCCCCCCCCCCCCCTCAAAAAAAGTAAAAACTGCCACTCCCCCCCAAAAAAAATCATATTCCAATTTTTTTCATGCTATTAAGGACATGATGTAAAGACAGATGACATTACTGACATTTCCTGCAAAAACCTGAAATTTTAAATTTAAAAATAATTTGCCTTTGTGACAGGTAATGCAATTTGTTTACTTGCTCAGTTTATGTTCTTCTTCTTCTTAAAAAAAAAAAAAAAAAACATACTACAGCTTTAACAAACCACAAACGGGAATTGAAGTTTGAAAACGACTTTGAAAATGAATGAATTTAAACGAATAAATGTAAATTAAATGAATAAAAATCACACCACAACTGCTTGAAACAGCTTTATTTCTCGTAAGTATCACAAGAAGCCCGTCATGATCTGCCGTTTTAAAACTCTGAATAGGTAGATTTAACATCCTAACGTCCTGGTTACTCAAACTCAAAAATGAGCTACAAAAATGAACCAAGCTATATATAATAAACAAAAAACTCTGCTGCTCTATACAGTTATATGAACTGACTCTAAAAATGTAATTCAAGGGCTACCCATAGTGTCTTATTTAAAGATACCACTTGTTAAAAACAAAAACTTCTGGCACCTGTTACTAACAATAAATCCAGTATTATTATAAATTTGGTCTTTCATATACATTTCCATATACATATCTACTGTTTAAAAAAAAAAAAAAAAAACTATGCCAAGATTCAAGATTCATAACGGCGTAAAAAGGTTTCAAGTTTGGCGTCCGTAATGCTGTTTATTTGAGGTGTTTAGTCTGTCGGCTCTGTCGTCTATTTGGCAGTGCATGCACACACACACACACACACACACACGAGTGGAACATGAGGAGGCAGTGTGAGTGTAGGGAGACCTGATTCGGTAGCTCTGAGGAGCTCTACAGTGTTAACACGCTTCCCTGATCAGACACATACAGTGCTTTCAGCTTGGCAGAACAGTCACACGACGTCAAGATCACTGAATCAATTGGGGCAGGAGCTGAGGAGGTTGCCGGGATTAGTGGGAGGAAAGGCAGGTTCCATAGTTCGATATCCCACTACACGTCAGTGGTCTTTCTGGACCTCTTCTTGAGAGGTGGTTTGCTGCTGGTTTTGGCCTCTGTTCTGCGCCTGTACTTGCGTGGTTTGGTGGATGAGGGTACTTCAGCGCTGTGTTCCAGTGGGGGCTCTGCCTGAGGGCGGATATCGGAGTCTTCATGTTCCTGGCAGCAGAGCTGGCCCATGAGCGGGTGAGACCGCAGCGCCCCCTCTTGGTGAGCCTTGCAAAAAGAGTTAGGGCACAGCTGGCAGAAAGCATCAGAGTTCTTTCCACACACGTCACAGTGATGCCAGGGACAGTCCCAGCGACCTGGAAGAAAACGGATCACAAATGTACTCAGTAGCAGCAGTATTGGTATCAATGATAGGATGCAATTAAACTAATATTTTAAACTTTGTTGTATCCACATTAAGTTGGACACTGAATGTAAAATTATTATAATTTTTAAAAACTTAAACGCTAGGTGCGATTAATCATGATTGTTTGTTTTTTAATTGACTGTAAGCATTAGAGTAAAGGTTACCAAATGGTCTCTTGGTGCGGTCTAGGCAGGAAAGGTGATAGGCTTTAGTGCAGCCCTTCTTGTCACACAGAACCAGCTCTCCACCATCGCCACAGCGGAAACACTCGTCCTCAGACTTCTTTCCTTCGTTACGGGCCCTTCTCCGCTTGGGCTTTTTCTTCTGAAGCTTGTTTTTGGGCTCAGAAGGATGACCGTTCTGAAGTTGATGGGTGAAAAGCAAGTGTCAAGGCATTTAGACTCCCGTTTGCATTTATATTGATACCCCGTTCAAGGAGTGGAAAGTAGCAAAGTAGTTATGTAGAAGATGTTATCCAAACTTGAAGTACAAATATTACAGGGACAAACTTAGTTTCAAACGTTTTGAAGGTCACAAAGGTGACGGCTCATACTTTATAAGGCTCAAACCTTCTAAATACCACGCCTGAGCTTTCAGCATTACACCATGCCAGCAAGATCTCAATAATAACAGTCACTCACCTTGGGTCTGTCACCTAGAAAACCACTGCAGTTAGGAGCTCCACAGCGACACACAGTCTTTTCATTCCCAAGACAGTCCAGGTTATAGTTAAATGTCAGCTCAGTGCCTGAAAACATTGACACACAAATGGCCAATTAATTTTGAGAGGAAAAAACAAGATTTGGCAACAAAAGATAGGTGGGGCGATAGCTAGAAAATGTAGTAAATTGAATATAAAATTTTTATAATAATATGCAGAGGGTCTGCCATAGTCTAATCTGTCCCACCAGTTTCATAATGAACCAAAAATATTTGTAATAATTTAAATTTAATAATAATTTAATAACAAGATTCTATTTTATAAATCAATCAAACAAAAATCAATTCACGAGTTTTCCGCAGTCAAGTCTGTAAACCTGTTTTCATAGAAACTAATTCTCCATCCAAATAAAAGCTTGTGGATTAAACTCTCCCAAGAGATTAAAACACTAGATATTTTTATTATAAAAACCATAAAAACTTAAATATTAATTTGCATTTATTTTACAGTGCAGGTGTATCACACTGCTCAATGTATAAGTACAAGTCAATGCAAAGTTTTTTCCTTCTTCAAAAATGGGTTGGCGCTCTTAATTTTGCTCTCCATGTGCACCAATTGATGCATTTAACTTTAAACTGTAAAAAAAAAAAAAAAATCTTGTTTTTTGTTCGGAACTTGCTTAAATTACTGTTTTTCGCCCAAAACCAAGGAACCATTATTTTAATTGCTTTTGGCTAAACAGATTCTAAATATTTTATATATTTTATTTCTTATATGTAGTATATCCAGTTTTCAAGATTTTAAATGGTGATTTTTTTTTTTTTTTTTTTACATTTTAAAGTTTAGTGCATTATATTTATTCATAAAAAATATTAAAGCAACACTCTAGCTAAAATTAGAGTGAGGAATTTTTTTATTTCAATTTATCACCTAGCCTTCCACAAAAATCCATCACATCTCTTATTTTTAGAATGTGAGCTCACCAGAAGGGATGTCACACACAGCAAACAGGCCCACGCGAGTGTCTCCATTAACTGTCCATTTCTGAGTCTCACAGTTGGGCTGGCAGCTGTGGTTCATGAAGCGAGAGTAGTTCCCTTTCGGTCCCGCATCAATAATCCGATCCTGCACACAATCAGTGTATAGAACAATGAAGGTAGAATGATCACAAACCATTATGTTGTCGTGAGCGTGTTACCTATGGAATGATCTGTATTACTGTATAGGGGCGTCGGTCTTAAAGTGACAGCATTCAAATATACCAACTGTCATTAAAAAAAAACACAAAAAAAGGCATGCACACAGCCAAGCGAAATGGGGTCTTCCCGGTCTTGTTCACCCAATGCGCCATTTTTGCCGTGTGCACCTTCATGCTCGTGCGGACGCGTCAAGTATAACAAGGCTTTACTCCGTGTCCTGAACGGTAAAGGTGCACAGAATAATCTCCCGTAATAGCAGCTACCGCACCACTAACTCCACCTCCGTTTGCCTCCTCAGCTGATATTAGTATTTAAACATTCTCTATGATAAAAAATATTTTAATAACACAGGTTTGCCGGTTGTAGAGTTATAATGACGGTGTTCAAATACATAACATTAGACTAACGTAAACCAGCTTATAGTATCATGATTCAGTATGCTAGTATTTATTTGAGATGCATTATGTTTTTTTTAATCAATCGAGCAGCAGAAACATATTCTTTATTTTAGCTGACTAATCGATAAAATAATCATTTAGTTAATAATCATTTACCCCAGCCCTAATATTTAGTTTACAAAGAAGACATTGCTTTTTAATATATATTTGATTACTTTATACACTATGTAGTATTTCTAATGCTTGAAGTTTTTCAGATAGGATTTGGGTCATATCACCCACCCCTAGCTGTTCAGTGACACTACCAATGCTCTATAGGGTCCAAACATGCCAAAATCAGGCATGACAAGCAGAGCAAGCACATGGCACCTTTATTTACCTTGTCAATAGTGAGCATATAGAAATGTGAGATGTCGTTCTCTTGAGCGTATTTGATTCTGGCTCTGCACTCCTCCTCGTCTATCAGTTCACCCACATATTCATTCACAAATTCCCCCTGCATGACACAGAAACAGCCAATCAGCAATCACATACAGCAAACCTCCTTTGCTAAATCTTTTCAAAAGCTAGTGGACGTACTTTCTTAATGTCTCGCAATGACAGCAGGCCCCAGCCTTTGCCTGCGGTGCGAATGATCTTGGTCTCGGGATAGTGGCGTTTGGTGAAGTCCTGGTTTTGGCAGCGCTCTCCAGCAGGACACACTTGAGGATGGCACTCGTACAACAGCATGCGGTTCAGACACTCGGATTCAAAGCTGCAGGGTCGCTCGTCCGACGGCTTACAGTTACACTTGGGGATCTCGGAAATGTCTGCGGTGTAGACCTGCACTCGTCCACAAGGCTTATTCACCTAATAACAAATAAAACCATTCAAATTAAGCTTTTAAAATCTCTATAAACAGATTCACTACATTCAGAACATTAAAATAACTACAGAAATGGTCATGCACTGAAAATTAAACCATGGGAGTCTTATAAAGATCATATGTTGAATGGCAATACCTTGATGTATTTGTATGGAGGAGGTTTCTTGTTGTTCTCTTGAGCCTCTTTGGCCTCCCTCTCCATCTCAATCTCCTTAAAGCGAGTTTCAGCCTCCAGCAGGGCTGCACAAATAGATAGAGGAACCATTTCACAACAGCACTGACAATACTGCGATTACAAATTAGATAATAAAACAAAAGAATATTTTACCATTCTTAAAGACCTTCCCAATGCCAGTCTGTTGGTATTTGCTTCCCCTGTCCCCCTCCATGTAAGGAAAGACTCTGCCCTGGTGTGTCCAGAAATAGTCTTTAGAGCCAAAGAAGAACACGGGGAACTCCCCAATCTCATGACGCAGGTGCTGGATGTTTGTCGGGATGTTCTTAGGGTGACGGATCTCTGCAGGCCACCATCTATAATTTTAAATGAAGTCAAAGGTTAGGACAGAAAAATTACATCTGCAAAAAATGTAGCTTAGTTATTTGATCATTTTCAATAGCGCGCTCTAGCCCTAGAAACCACCAAAACCCTAAATAAAAACAGATGAGTTCAATAAGTTTAAGCTAAAGGTGTGTGTTTTGCTGTTAGAAGCTGACCTGTAGTTCCCCAGTTTGACCCAAATAACATCTCTGTATTTGGGTTTCTTCCCTGAGCGACAATCATTACAGAACCAGCTGCCATCAGGCATAGCGATGTTCAGACAGTCAGGGTGAAACGCAGCTGGACATGACTCACAGCACAGCAGACGGCCACCTACAACACGCAAATGCATCCATTTATATAGTGCCGTCATGTTCAACTTTAGATGCCATACATTAAAAACAGCTTTATTATGACAGTGGAATTCACACCCTTTGAGCAGATAAAGCACCAGCTGACGTTGACGTGAGAGTGGTGACTGTAGCCTTTCTTAGCCCTGAAGTGATTTGTGCACACAATGGCAGAAGATGACAGCATCTCACTGCCCGCAGCAACACACAGGTCTCCAACATGATAGGCCACGGGACAGCGCAAACAACGCATCATCTTTCCTGTAAGGGGACAACAGGAAATGTATTACGTGATTAAACCAACACCAACTAAATAAGTCAATTCAATTAGCGTTTTCATATAATTTAACCTATTGGAAGTGTGTAGTAGTTGTTTGTCTGCAGTTTGAATTAAATTAGATTAAAGAAAAGGTCCCACATAATAGTAATCATATTTCATAGTACATCTACTTATGTGTTCATGTTGCTTTCCAAAACTCTTGTGCTTTTATCGAGGTGAGATACGGCCGGGTAAAGGTAGCGACACGTTTCATGTTATGGTCAGGTTTAAAGGCGAGTTAATGGGTCAACTTACAGGAATAATTACTGCAGCTATTTAATTATAAGTGCAACATAACATGCATGCACATAATAAGTGCATTGTATCAAATTATGCAATTTAATTGTTAGTTCATAGTAGTTAAACACAACATAAATGTTTTTTTGTTTTTTTTTTTAGACCCAATTTATATTGCATCATCTTTGCTGACAGTGTGTAAACATTCATGTCTTTTTTTTGTACCTTTAGTGGCCTTGCCAGTGCCACGGCCACTGTAGTGGCAGCTGAGGCAGGTGTGCAGAGGGCAGCGGAAGCCTCGATTCTCAAACACGGTCAGAGGGCTCAACCGTACACAGGCCTCATGGTAGAAGCGGCCACAGTGAAGAACACAGCAACGCCGCACCTCTCCTTCAGACTTCTTACAGGTGAAACACACACGCACACCTGAAAAAGTGAAAGAAAATTATAGCTCACGATAGTGAGAAAGCTGATTTTTCTAAACGCAACATCAGTAAATCTCACCTGAGATGCAGGCAGTGCAGAGCAACTTTTCTGCTGATCGCTCAAGTCCAATACAATGCAGGTGATATGAGCCACAGCACTGTCCCTCACACATCACTAGATCCTCCCCGCTCTGCTCACACACCTGGAAAACAGCAACACAAACACTCATGTAGGGCTGGGAGATATGGCCTATCAGTCGATATCGATAATTATCGTGATAAATGCCAAATCTTTATTTCTTTCAAGGTTAAAGGAAGATTTTCTCTCTGGAGTGAAAGTTTAAGAAACCATTAGTAGTGATGGCACGTATCTTCAGCAAAGTTTGCTGTTCTACAGTTTCCGTGTGTTGTTCACAAACTATTCTGAAGTTTTCTCTTCTCCAAATCACTAAACTTCTTAGTTCTTAGCAGAATTCAAGCACTTCTCACTGGATCTTACAGCGCCGCCGATTAGTGTCAGGTGATCGAGGCCGATCAGTAAGTAAAAGCATCAGCACTGTCAGCAGTCTGTCATTCCACTTTTGGCGCATAACCCCTACTTTAAAAATGTATTGGTCTTTTGTTATAATTTTGTCAAGGAAAATTATAACCACCATAATTATCGTTATCTTTTTATTGCCCAGCCCTGCATTAATGTTAGATTTCAACACGGATAGTTCACTCACCAGACACACGCTCTCTTTTTTGGTGCCGGCAGTGCGTTCCGTCTTTTTTGAGGGATGCGATTCGTCTGTACTCTCACTGGGAGATTCGGGTCTCTGCTCACACAGCAAACTCTAAAATATGCATTAAAATTATATTTACTTAAAAGACATCTGGCAGATAAAGGTGACAGAAACCATTCATTTACGGTTCCAAATAGAGTTCATTATTCAATCCAAGAAGACACATGATGCAAATCACATTTTCAAACAGAATCACAAATTGTCTAAGTATGATATTTCACATATTAGAGAACAAACAAAAAATACACACACCTCTGGCTCAGGGTAAGATGATCTGCGGCGCTTTTTGGATGCGACAGGTAACGACTGTCTCCCTAAATCCTGTTTCCGCTTCCTGACACGTTTGACTTTAGCAGGAGACTCCTCCTCACCTGAGGAACAAAGAAAACTGAATTTAGGAACAAATATAAAAAGGACACAAAGATGAACAGTATTTAGACTGAGCCGTTTCTGTAGCTCTTAATAGTCTGCAGATTTACTTGGGGCTTTTTTTATTTGTTTCCTTTTTTCATCCTTGTCGGATTTCCGCCTCCTCCCCCTCGGTTTAGGGACAGGGGCCTCAGCTGATGGTGTATTCTGACAAAAACGAAGAGAAAGAATATTTTAGTGTTGAGTTATTTTGAGCTATTTTTTTATTTATATTTTGCAATAATTATTTAAACATTAGTGTTAAAATATCTCAGCTCGGACAAATGCTTGGCATTTTCTCTCAAATCACCTTTTGGCCTTTCTGCTTTTTCAACTTTTCAGGCTTGATTTTCATTTTAGGCTGCAGTGCTACATCTTCATTTGACTCTCGTAAACGTTTGTAGCCTTTTTTCTTTCCTGTATGAAGCAGTCAGAAAGCATGCTTATCATTTAAAGATTTTTATAACATTTTTAAGGTTTTTCCTTTCAGAATAACTTTTCTATAAACAACTATTGTTGCAACTAATAATGAAACCACCCACACACCTTTAGAAGAGCCATCCTCCTTCTCCAAAACTTTTGGGCTTAGTACTGATACCTTTATATCTGATAACAGAAAAACTGAAAATTACTACAGGAACAAAAAAAACATGCAACGGCAGCCTTGAAACGTCTTTTTCATGTAGGTTTTAAAGACAATTTTTTTTCAAGTCGCTGAGCAGTACAGCCAAACTAATTTCCCTTTTTTAATAATTTAGCCTTATGAGATAAAAAAAAGAAAGAGAAACCACTTAGACCACTTTGTTTTAAAAATAATAAATGCGGTCACTTTAAGACTATGGATCTAATATCCTGACATGCATCCAAACTATTTTCATTTATAAGATATAAATGACTTATGTAAACCTTTTGCGTATTTGACAAAGAAAGAGAATAGTTGAGAACTTGCGCACTGTGACAGGCTTTTAATGCGTGTGCACTTTGAGGGTACGTGTAGGGCTGGGCGATATGGCCATTAAAAAAAATTGGTTAAATGGTGACATACAATATATATCCTGGTACTTTCAACATTTTTCTTTTTGGACAAAGAAAATCTGTATTTATGTAAAAAAAAAAAAAAAAAATTTTTTATATATATATATATATATATATATATATATATATATATATCTCAAGTATATCCTACAAACAATGCTGATATTGAAGGATATGGAAACAAACATAGTGAATGTAATCTAGGCTATGCAATATATTATGTGCAAAGGTGGTTAAAATCACATTACATTCTAACATTACAATCTAAAAACAAAAATAATGCTTATCAGAACAGCATGCGAATAAGAAGTTTAACTGGTAAGGCTTTAAAACGCATGCAAAAAATAAACATGCGGAAGAACTGCAATAACACTTGAGCGTAACCCTATCGCAGTGTTGATAAATGATGTGGTTGTACAATACGTGTGGACTGATAGAACGTGCGCTGTAGCAAAATACTAAGATATCTCTTCAAAGGCCGATCGTGGAGACATGCTAATAATTCAAAATCTAAAATCCCGATAATCACATGCCTCTAGTTATAACATGCATTTCAATATATATATATATATATATATATGGTGTGTGTGTGTTTATATGCGTTTCATAATTATACCATAAATATTTATAGGTGGTTAAATAAGTAAATTTATTTAAAAAAAAATTACTAATAAATTTAGTAAGTCAATTTTGTAAATTTAACAAAACAAAAAAACTAACTTCACTGGTTAGGCAATTGTTTGCCCTTTACAGTTTTATAAATGTCTCACCTGAAAGCCCAGGATTAGTGGAAACTGCATTTACAGTGTCAGAGATACTGACACCTGCTTTTATTTTCCTCTTCTTCACTGAATTTGGTGCGGCAGGAAACTTCTGTCTGATCTGTCTCTGTTTCTTCTGAGGAGCTTTTAGCTGAAGGTCTAGATCAATACAGAGCAGGTCCTTCAAATATGGAGAGATAAATTAAATAAAGAAAAGATGATTACCACAAAAATACCACAGAGACACTGATCATGATATAATGAGACCAAACCCACTTTTTTCCGGAAAGTCCGTTTCCCAGCATTTGTATTTCTTTTCCTCTGGAGTTCAGGCGTCTCTGATGAAACACAGGAATCCTACAATAACAAGATAAGAAATATTGCATCTCTAGCCTCTCAATAAAATCCTTATCCTACACAGAGCTAAACAATGCCAACCACATCGCTGTCTGCTACCTGAACAGTAGATTCAGTCAGAGGGGTCCGTTTTGCAGAGGAAGCTTTTGACGTCTTATACTTCAGTGTTGTGCCACGCTTTCTGCAGTGATCCTTCTTCACTGACGTTTTAGGTGCTTTTCTGGCTAGGGTGGTTTTCCCTGATGAAGTGCTGCTGTCTGTGGGGTGGGAAAAGAGGCCTGGGATGGTGGTAGTAGGTATTGTTGAGTTGGGGCTGGAATGAGTGGAGTCGGGGGGAGTGAGGCTGACAAGCTCTTGAGACTCCCTCTGAGCTTGGTCTTGCTGTGGTCCCAGAGTGCGTTGTGCTTGAAGCTCTTGTAGCATGCAAGGATTGAACTGGGCTTTGCCCTTTTCATAAACAAAGCTGAATTTGGCCAGTCGCTCCTCTATCCGTTGACCCAAAGCTTCGGTTGCCTGTGACACGCCTGTTTCCCACTGTTCCCGGAACTTACGAGGAACTGCCCGCTGTTGAGAGTACATCAAAGAAATCTGAGACAAAGTATTTTCATGAAATTCCAACAAATGTATGGAAAGACTTCCCCTAGTAGTGAAAGATATATGCACAATATTTACTGTACCTTCCTTCCACTGATATCAATGGGTAGTTTGTTGCTGCGGCTAAGTGACTGGTACTGGTGTTTTCCTGAGAAGGTGACTATGCTCGTCTCAAAGACATATCCTCTCTCTGGAGCATCTCCGAAGTACTGCACGTGGTACAACAATCCTGTGCGGCTATTCACTGCCAAAATGCAAAAATATCTATGAAAAATTAAGAAATTCACTTCTACAGGTGCTACATTTCTCAAACTGCTCTGTTGACAGTTGGAAGCAGGTCATTCTCTCAGCTTATGTTAGCTCAGGGTCACACTTTCACAAACAATTTCCACAGGATCTGTGCTCTCCCCTATCAGAGCTTCCAAACCATCTTTTTGGACCAAATGCAAGTGTTGTTTTTGATAGGGTCACAACTCTTCTCTCAGAATTTATAATCTGCAGGTGTCTTTAAATTGAAGCTTGTACCCGGCCCGTACCCGAGATCATTTAACTCAACACAACTGGAAAAATTACATTTTAAGCCTGAACCAAGTCCGTTTCTCACACAAAATACCTTTTTTGCAATGTGCTGAATTTTAGGATTGCATGCAACGATCAGTAAACGATTACATGTAAACAAACATGTTTCATCAACACACAGCAGACCCCTTCACAGTCAGCACACTGCAGCAAAAGAGATAAAGCACTTAAATAATAACCAATTATGAAACTATTCTGGGTGAACAGGTGTAACAGTCACATACATTGCTCTGGAACTTAAACTTCAAAAACAAGTTTGCGCAGTGTTGACTGTAACAGTAAAAACACCTCTGTCGTTTTCCACCAACCTTAGAGATCCCGCTCATATTCTATGGCGTGTTTTGCCAAAAAAAAAATAAGTAAAAGTTTTGTGCAGATGCTCTCTGGCGCTCTTTCGGTCAACACAGCAGATTTCAAGCACACACACACATATATATTTAGCTATATATATATATATATATATATATATATATATATATATATATAGGGCTGTGCAAAGATTAAATGAGATTAATCGCATCCAAAATAAAAGTTTATGTTTACATAATATGTGTGTGTGTGTGCCATGTATAAATATATATATGCGTGCTCGTCAGAAGTTTAATGGACATAGCAAATTGTTGTCATTTAGGAATTAGATTTGTGTGGTGTTTGAATCGAGACTGTGAACTTAACAATTAATCATGCAGTTCTACTACAAAGTACTTCTTGTTGTAAGTAACCTTTAAATCCCTTAATGACCTTGCTTCTTGCATCTCTGAGCTACTTCAGGTTTGTTTCCTTGATTCCTTCTCCTCCCTCCATAGGTGTTAAATAATGTCACCTGTCCTAAACTCTTAAACTCACTCTCATGTAGCCGTTGCAATCAGTTAAAAGTTGTCTTGTCACTATTATTTTTCTACATCTGACTGGTATTTTTTAATCAATATCTGTCAGTTAACAGTTACTGTTCTAGTAATGTTATTGATTGGGCTATCTGATGCAGGCTTTTACATGTCTAAATACAGATCATTATGAAAAGGTGGAGCCAATGTTACAAAAGCATCATCCTGGCATCCACTGGCACAAACTGACAGTAATTGAGTAAGAGTTACTGTATGATGCAAATCTGTTGTTGATTAAGAAAACGGTGCTAGAAAGCACTGAAAAACAGTAAGTCAACTGCTCTAGCACACCTTACCTTTTGACTTAAAGTGCATGTTGAACTCTGGGTCAGTAGTGATCATGCATGGCCACCACGGGTATCCAGACACTTTAGTCCAGATAACATCTCCCACTGAGTACTGCACATGCTGTTGTGTCTCTGTACCACTCACTTTCACATCATCCATGTCCTGTGCAACATCACTCACTTCACAAGCATACACAGGCTGCTGCAAAAGAGAAATGAACTAAGTCTCGAGAACAGAATCTAGTCTACAAGGGGATAATAGATTTTCCTGAAGACACAACAAATTAGAAAAGAAACTAAATTACTATTAAAGACAATTGAATGAGGGAAACATGCAGGGAAATGTGTGCCATCGAGCTATACCTGTATAGGGGTGGTATTTACACTAGCAGGTATCTCGCCATCAGTCTGCTCATTAGTGGGAAGAATGCATGGTTCAATGGTGAGGTCATTCGAATTTATGGTGGTTGGCAGAAGAGGGGATCGAACATAATCCGCAGAAGGGTTTAAAATCGGACGTCTCCGATTTGGCGGAGTTCTCTTCCTCACAAGCCCCCTCTTTTTCTTTCGCCTTTCTCTCCTGCCAGTTGGAGAGGACAGAACACCTTCTGATAGTCTCAAAGGTGCATCGGTCTCCTCTTCTCTTTCCCCTTCATAATCCGATCCGTATCGGCTTGTCTTCCCACCTAGATTTACCACGCATTTGGTTATTTTGAAAGTGAGTTCAGGAGAAACGCTGGACTTCCTCGGAGGGCTGGCGTGTTGAGGAAGAGGCTCCACCCCTTTGAGAAGAGGCTGTGGTGCTGTGGCAGCACAGAGCTTTGGAATTTTGTCTTGATCGCCATTTAACAAGCGGGAAGTCAGGTCCTTAAGCCGCTCGTGGGTGTGGTTGTGACCATGACTGCCAATTATCTGCAGAACATTTTCTTGAGGTGTAGCCGCCATCTGGGTAGCAGCTTTATCCATGAGCATAGTAGGGTCAGTGCTCCCATCACCCCGACTCTTACATCCACCAGGTGAATCAGACGGCTGTTTCATGGTGGTAGGACTCCCGGGCTCTGGCATTGCAGGCAGTGATCTCCCCTTACTGTCTGTCATTACTAACCAGGGGCCTGCAAAACACAAAATAAGAAATTTAGATAAGTCCTCACCAAGGTACTGCACTACATAGACTGATAAAAATGTGCATGCATGTAAAAAGAGCATTGCAAAGGTAGTTAACGAACAAACTAGGTCAATTCAAGCATATTAACGGTTATATTAGGGTGACCCTTGGTTGGAAAAGTTTTACACCTCATGCTTTAAAATTTATAAAGCACATCAGTGTTATAAGGAAATTAGTGTTCAAACTACATCATAGGACAAATCTTTGAACCACAGGCCCAATTTATGTTAAACTTTTTTTAAAATAATTAATAATAATATATAATATTAATATATAGTTGCAAAATAAACATACAAAGACTAGGATTTAAAAAAAAATCGCGTTTATATAATAAACATAAGTTTTATGTCCACTGCACATGTGGCGCAATGACGCATGATGCATATTCTAAATAGCCACAAATAAATAAGTTACAGTTCGTGACACGGTTTAAGATAAAAATTGAATGGGTTATGCCAGGGATGGAGTTTGAGAACTGGAATGGTTTGGTCCCACATTAAAATGGCTTCCGTGGAGGGTTGGCAGTGCGCGAGTGGGTGGCCAGCCGCTTTAATTCAGTTCAATGCACAAACCCTGACGCAACCTCCTCAAATGGATCCCGAAACCAAATGCAAAAATACAAACAATACTATTCGATACAAAATGCGCACTTCGAGAGTCCCATCAATGAAATATCAGACTATCGCTTTAGATCCGCAAGATGCACAACGTCAATAGACAAATCAGATTTTAAAACCGCACAAGAAGCAAAGCTTTATGTAAAACAATGACTGCTCAAATGCAAATGTCCGTTCGGACCTAAACAAGAGGCAGTTATCAAGCTATTGTTATTTAGGCTGGACAGTCAGGATGCCTCGTTAACATCAATGAGGGGAGATTATGGATGAGTCACTGATGGACTCGTTTAACCGTCCTAATAGACCACCGCAAACTGAAAGAAAATAACCAAAGATAATACAGATAAGACTTTTACACCAAAATGAAACTAAAACGCCTTCATGGGAATTGCGCTCTCGGTTGTATCAATGCTTCAAATTCCAGACAGATAACAAGAAATGTATATACACAGTGGAGTAAAATATATCAAGGCGTAAGTCTCGTGAAAGTAACTGGATAGAGCTAAGATGATGTTAGCAAAGAAAAGGCTCGTCAGAACACAAAAAAACTTGAGCTGACTCAAACAGTGCTACGGTAGTAAATGTGTAATCTCTGAGGAGGTGTCTGGGGCTGTGATACACATTATACCCACATGGCACGTTTTATTAACTAACTGGAATAATTTACTCTTCAAACTGAAGCGGACAAACCTCGCGAACTACAGCTTAGCCAGCTAGCAAGTGAGGTACAGTTGCAGCTGCCTCAGTCAGTGACATACTACAAAACGACTCGTTTATCTATAAGAGGAAATCTCTAATATCACACTGCAGCGTGTAATAGACAACAGTTCCCCCAAACTATGATGTGCCATGACTTATTTCTGTGGGAAAATAAACCTGTTTGCAGCATCTCCATTACTCCCGACCTGTATTGAGGAGCTTGCGGGAAACTCTCTCATCCCAATCAGCGCCAAAAATACTCACATCCGATTGGCTGAGACTCGACGGTACAATTCAACCGGCCTTTTCAAATATCACTCTCTTCGCGGCTGACTTTCCGTTGAACATCTTCACTTATCCTTGGCGTACTCCATACTCATCGCAGGTTCGTAGATTAAGATAAAGCCATGAGAGTCTGAGATCATCTGTTTTTGTTTTTATTTCGAAAAATGGCAAAGCTACACACAGATTACTGCTCGAGGAATCGAGGAGGGCGATTCTCACCATGTGACGTCAGATGCAAGAGGGAGGGAATTCGTTATCTAGTTGCCAGTTGTATTTAGAAAATATGGCGAATGCTTTAACGTCATTGTATTAAAACTAAACGATAATATTTTTGCATTTGTTATTTATAATAGTTTGTAGAAGATACAATATTGGTGGAATGTTTAATTTCCGCTTTAAATATATTTTATTTACTCGGTTAATAATAGGTGAGCGTATTGTCGATTTGCACATTTGAAAGCGTGCCTGGCAACCTGGAAATAAGCGCGCCAGATTGTGTTGCCATGTGCTCTTAATATAAACATTTTCTCTTTTTTATCATAAATTTATTTATAAACATTTTTCTCTGTAGCACGTAAAGTAACAGCACGTAAAATTGTAGTCTTGTGTTGTATTTGAAACATTGGATTGATTTTTAAAAGATATAATTATGGACAATACACTTCCATTACAGCAATGCAATTGTTTTATGTACATTTATGCTACACTAAAACAATTAAGCACACAATAAATCGCTCTGAAATGAAAAAGGGTGTATTTATACTCATTTTAAGTAAGTTTGTCATGTATTTGGAGCGTATTTTTATCAGACCAGTTTTCTTATTATTCTAGAGAGATCTGGCAACAGTGGCGCCAAGGCCCGTATCACATAGACCTTATTGGCCAGGCTTCACTAATGATTGCCACTTCAAAGAGCAGTATATCTGCTTATAGAAATTTAGAAAGCGTTATTGTATTATGAAATACTTGAAACAAGCCGCATTGCTTGTACACCGGCTCTTTGACAATGCTTAACAGGATTAATATACAGCTACATCATTTCTCCAAACGTAGCTTTTTACAGATATCTGAACTCTAAACAACATGCATTGTTGGTCATTTCATTTTGAGTTTTATGAGTCCATTTCTTCCAGGCGTATGATTTGCCACTGTGTCCCCGCTTGCATCATCGTTTCTTCTCCTGTCACCATCTTCATAGATAGCAACTGTAACACGCCCCCTGCTGGCCGAGCTCGAGCCACAGGAACACGGAAGCAAATGCCGAGCGAGCGCTTGCAAACTCATCGCTTGAATCACCGAGGAGGGCACAAGGACATGAGCCAAGAGCTTGGGACTATGACTTCTGTGGATAGTTCATAAACCATCATCGTATTATATCTGTACGTCCACTCAGCGCCTTTTCATCCCTACATTCAGGAACAGAATGGCATCGATTTTGCTCACCAGGTCTCGGACTCCGTTGGTGAAAACATCTAGGTCATTAAAGAACGAATTCAGAAAAGGTAATACAGTTTTTTTTAATACAGGAGAGAGATCAGTAACTTAAGTGGTTAATTATATTGTTTTGGATACAACGATTTGAATGGATGACTGTTATTCTATCTGCCTTTTTAATTTTGAAAAACGCTATTATCTTTATGAACTGTCAAATGTGCGTCACGCAGAATTGATGCATACAGACAGTAGCCAGTTTTGTTTTATTTATATAACGTTAGGCATTGTGAACATTCTCCTGTTTTATTTACTGTTATTCATTCCGGATATTTCCTTCCATCTCATGTAGACTGCAAATATCATGTATGAAAATATTTCCATCCTAACACTGAAGTCAGAAAGTTCATGACCTAGCCACTTAGCTTTCAAACCTGGCACATATGATTATTGAATGACCGGTGAAGTGAGAGGCTTAAGTGATTAGCTAACCAGCTAAACTAGCCTCACAGATAGAAGCAGTCATAATCACCGAGAACCCTCCAATTTAAACGTTTTCATGGGATGCGTCCAGTATAGTGGTTGTACAGGCACAGATAATGGAGGCTCACTGTAACCTAGTCCTAGTGCGTATGTGTCGGACGGTGTCACACGTGCTTGCGCTTTTGTGTGTTCATGCTCTGTTACTGTAAGTCATTTCTGGAAAATAACTGTGCTGCGACTGGGGGTTGGTTTGTCTTCTCATTGTTATGGCCTACACGCGAGTCGTTTCCACACTTTTGAAGAAACGTTTGAGTTTGGTTTTATTATGGAGCGCCTTTTTTAAGTCAGACTCTGAATTAATTTGTAGTATGAGACATCGGTATGTTTTTTGCTGGCGTGGCCAGTCGGACGCTCCTGTTTGAGAACGTCAATGCGATCAACAGAAAGAAAAAATATAATTGAATGCGTATAAACGCTTTTATATCGTCGTCGTTTATGTGTATAATGCGGTTGTATATTATTTTAGAGCCATATATTATGCTCAGGCTACTGGAGAACAGGGGCTGGTAGACTTGTGTGGCCTCCTGGAGGTTATTTGAGGACAGACTGCTTTTCCGTTTGGCGCAGACTGCCTCCATGTTCTAGACCGGTCATAGTGAATCTGAATCATCTTTCATATAAACAATATAATGACATCTGTCCATTAGCTTGACAATACTGTCTAATTAGACCTATACATTGTCTGCACTGATTAATGGTTACTAAAATTGGTGGGAATATTTTGATTCAATCGTTTGTATTCAATCTGTTCACATAAATATTCATTTAGTGGACCAGGCATAACAATGTGACAATAATTGCTATAAATGACTATAAAACTACCAAATTGACTTTAACCTGTAAATGTGCTGTTCACAAGCAACATCTTTTACGGGTAAAATACCATTCACATATCATTACCAACATACCTGTAGACTTTTGTTTGTCCACTTGGATGAGGAGAAGTGCTTTGGTTTCACTATTTGTTCAATTTGACAACATAGTTTAAAAAAAAATACTTTTTAGTGACAGCCGGAAGTGGATGATCAGAGATATTAGTTATATACTGCAGTATGCAATAGTAACTGCTGAACTGTGCTGATGAATTGAAAAGAAGGCGGGGTCTCAGATACAAGATAAATTAAACAATTAATAGCAGTGAAGCTTACCGTTATTAGCTCAGACAGAGCTTTAGGTTTTGCCCAAAACCAAACTTCTTATGTTAGCACGTTCTGACCTCGTACATGCTCATACCTGTGATTCTATTCTTTGTTCACAGCATTATTCGGGTAATTAACTTGTTATGTTACAACTTTCATTCAGGAAAATGGCCAGAACAGGTTTACCTGCATTTTTGAAAAGGTCCTATTCACTCATGGTTTCTAAATTATGATTTACTAGTAATTTGACAGTGAAAACTGTCTGTGAAAGGGGCTGTAGAGTCACCCTTCCTAACGCGGTCTCATGAGAAAACAAAAAAAAAAGTCAAATTAATTTTTATGATGTGATTTCGAAATGAAAACATTTCATTGGAAACTCTAGTTTTTATTTCAAAGTTTTTAGTTTCGAGTTAAAACTAAAAATGTTTAGAAAAAAAAGGTCCACTCCTGAACCTAGCTGTTAGCAGATCATATGAAAACATAATGAGATTGTGCAAATTCACCACCAATTTGGAAAACAATAAAATAAATCCTTTTGTAGTTCCTCTGCACTTTTTAGAGTTCTCCTTCCTTTTTGGAGCTCTCTGGCCAGCAGTTATATCTTGGTAACAGGTTCTTATGCTGTAAAGACACGCTTCATTATGGAGAGGTGTCAGTGAATGAAGAAAGTCAGTCCATAACAAATAAATAGTAACAATTTGGTTAAAACACACAGACACACACAAAGAAACCATCATTAGTTTCTGGCAAATAATGCTGTTTTTCTTTCCACAGAGACCTAAACACTCTTATAGTGAAGAATTCAATCTGTTTTTTTATGTGCTTGAACCAAATTACAAAACTTGTTGTTTAGTAACACTTCAGGTTTCATAATCCATCATTTGGAATTTCCCTGATTATATGTCTCTATAACCAATAATAATAATTTTAATCATTACAAATTACAATACAAATCAAAGCATATCAAAAAATATTTAATGCAACCTTGATAAATGTATGCATCTAATTTAAATTTTAATCAGTCATACTGTTTACAGTTTTGTTTAAATAAATGATGGAAATTATACAGTACAATTAAATGGCAATAAAGCCACACATCTCTAAACCTTGCAGAGGAAGCAAACGTGTCTTCAGCATTAGGCTATATCTTGTCTAAATGAAATAATGCTAATGCACTTTTGCTTATTTTCCCAACCACTGCAGCGTTGCTGCCACAATCTGTAATTGATTTCGAAATATACTTGAAGTGTTTCCTGAGAAACCTCAGTAACTTCCATGTGTGGACTTTTTGTATTAGCTAGCCTGTAGCAGTGTGGTCTGACAAATGATTAACCACACACAGCTTTGCATGACAGCCTATAAAGTAGTGGTCTGATCTGGATATGCATTGTGAGGTAAACAAATGCTGATTAATAGCTTTCATAACATTGATCCTTTAGATTAATGATGATTATCATACATACAAAAAGTAAATAGCTCAACATGCCAATAAGCATGACAACACTGATTAATAAGAAAATTAAAAGAAAAATTAAAATTGGCAGAAAAGTTAGAACATTTTGTTCATGTTGCATCAATGTTAACAGTCAAAGAAAAGTTAACTCATTGCCATGAAGTCTTAACCTACATTGTCTCTTGCCAGAGATGGGGTTTTCTAATCAGGACACTAGCTCAATCCACAGGCTTCTACCAAGCTGGTTAAATGTACCAGCACATACTGTGACTTGTCTCACACACACACACACACACAAAACACCCGATGCGAACAGCAGTCTGCAGAGTTTGTGCTGTTGAATGAGTTGACTGTCAGGTTCAGGGAGTCAATGGACTGAAACAACCAGTTTCATGTTTGTTTGTTCATTTGCATTGAGATTATGATTATGCACTTGTTCCCAGACATACATGAAGTATATCTGTAGGACTTGGTACCCTCCACTCTTGCTGTTTTATCACACTCTCAAAGGGACTGCTGCTTCTGATAAGACTTTCTCACAAAACTTCTGATAATGGAGTCAGGCTCTGTCAGTGAGATGGTTTCATAAGGGATAGACACCCCCCTGAGCCCTGCAAAAAAGTTTGGTAGTAATAGAAGTATTTCATTATATTAATGTTTATATAGTTTTATAAATAATTTCCCATTTGTTCTTGTTGAGCATGTGAAGATGTGTGTTAGTCATAGAGTGATTAGTCATATCATGGCATTTACATAGATGTTCTGCCCAGAATTGATTGCCCATGAGCCAAGATGTCAGCATGCAGGATGTGTTTTCTGCTGTTGAAATTAATGGGAATGTTAACGGATAGCTTTATGGAGCACCTTGGTTGGATTCCTTGAACATTTCCCATTCTTTGGGAAGCTCAGTCTATTAATTTCTTATTATAGCTGACTTTACACTTAAAGGAGTAGTTCACTTTAAAAAAAAAACCTGATAATTTACTCACCTCGTCTTTCTTTCCTCAGTTGAAAAGAAATGAGCTTGTGTAGTTTCTATAGCACACCTATAACAGAAAGGAAGATTTGTGACCACTTAAAAAAAAAAAAAAAAAAATCTTTTATGGCCTCACTGTAAAATCTCTGTTTTGAAACCTTCATCTTTAAGAGCATACTATTCAGAGAACTTCGTTGTCTACATGCAAATAGAAGAAGACTTAGGAGCGGATGGAGATCTCAGCTTTCAAGTTGACTGACCTTGAGATGTGAGGCCAGAAATCTTATAGAGCTAAATATATAGAGAGAAAGCATTTATTCTTTAATGTGAACATCCTGGCTTCAATAGGATTAGGTTTCACCGGGGGAACTTGGCCAAGGGTCTTACATGTGCGACAAACATTATGGCTAGCAAGACCAAGATTAGGCTTCACCGGGGCATTGGAACAAAGGTCCTATGCACTAAAGGTAATTGGGATGAGAATGGATTAATTATGGAGTCTAGCCTCCTCCTTTGTCTCTGATTGGACAAGTTGGAGAATCATGAGACTGTTAAGTATATGTAGTAGAGCTTGCATGAGGGAAATGGTTCAGGAGGAAGTCAGATTTGATTAATTGCTGTATTTCAGGGAAAGGGAAGTGTATGCTTATGTGCATGTGTGGGATACAGACAGAATGGGTGAGAATAGCTTTACTGGCTTACTCCAGATAAGGGAGTTTCCTGAAGCTATATTTACTGTAAGTAGAAGGACATCCTGCAGTTATAGTCCACTCCTTCACTTTTCCTTTTTAAAGAGGTTCATCCAAGAATGTTAAATCTATCAAATCTCATTTGAGCTTCCACATATTTAAACTTTACACATGACTTTTGGGGACATGCAAGAACAATGCCGTTTTGCATCACTCACTTCAATAGTAGCGCTACACACCTGGCTGAAAGTGTTCGAAAAACTCAACCCGATATCTCTGCTGTTAAAACTGGGATAGGATCAAGTGTTTTATGATAATGAGACAATAAGCAGGAACTTTATCTGGTTTAGGTCTTTGAATAGACATTTCATTCTGATTTCTTGGTAAAAGTTGATTAGGTTGAAATGTGATCTTGATCTGATGGCTCATCTTGGCTCATCTGAGTTTTGATACAGGAGTGTCATGCTCTACTTTGTTTCTCAGGTGAACACATGCTTTCAAAAGAAAACGGGTTTGTTAAAAAGGTACAGTGGATTAAATTTGATTATTATAGATTTAACTATCAACAATAATATAGCACTTTTGCATATAGGTTTGGTATTGGTTTCTAGCAATCCACTTCTCAATGCAATTCCCTTCACTTCAAGTTTGTTGGTTTCCTCGTATTGGCTATTCAGACTTTACCCTCTTTTCTCCTGCTGAAGAGCTGTTACAAACTTCATCTTGAGTTAGACATTACTGATATCTGCTCGGTCGGGTCATCCTCACGTATCCGAGTTTGTCACGGTCGGATGTTGAGTGTGTTTGTGAAGGTTGTTGCCTGTGTTTAATGCTACTCTTGAACAGCGGATTGTGTGGTCTTATTTAACTGTACTAACATAAGCATCCATCCAATGAAAAAAGTGTGAGCTATATAAACTCTTCACTGTAGCAAATGCAGTGTTTTTTGTGTGAGGTCTGTATCCTACCTGATGTAACTTGTATTGAGATGGTGTTTTCAATAGCTGGATAAAAGGATTTTAAATGAGTCATATTCAAGCATAGGCTGGTACTCTTACAACTTGACTGCAAGACCAAGTAATATTTGTTCTAGCTCATTCCATTGCATAACAACATTAGATCAATGAAGATCGACGAGTACAAATATGATTTATTTAGGTATTGATAAAGCCAGGGGGTTTCAGTGGGTCGGCAAGAATTTGAGAGATTTATTTATTTTATTTTATTATTATTATTATTTTTTTGCAAAATGTATTCTTGGGCTGTGAAAGTTAATGTGTGTTAAGATTATATATAAAATAAATTAAATTCTACTTTAACAATTGTTATTTTTTTTAAATCTGTCTAAAGAAGTAGTTTATAACGGAGAGTAAACAACAAATATGCATATCGTTTTGTAAACAAATTTTCTTTCATAGATTACAGATAGGCTACACTCTTAACTTTTATAACAAAAGATAATTTGCTTTAGTACAATGCCAGTTATTCCATTTTGGGAACGCTTAAAGGGTTAGTTCACCCAAAAATTAAAATTATGTCATTAATGACTCGCCTTCATGTCATCCCAAGCCCGTAAGACCTATTCATCTAGGTTCATGTATGTTCATTCTACGTTCAGAACACAGTTTAAGATATTTTAAGATTGAGTCCGACAGCTTTCGGTCCCTCTATTGAAAATGAATGTACGATATACTGTATACTGTCCTTGTCCATAAAGAAAGTTCATCAAAGTAGTCCATGTGACATCAGTGGGTTAGTTAGATTGTTCTGAAGCATCGAAAATAGATTTTGGTCCAAAAATAACAAAAACGACGACTTTATTCAGCATTGTATTCTCTTCCGGTTCTGTTGTCAATCCGCGTTCACGAGTCCACAGTGACGCTGGTGACGTAAGACGCTGCTGACATGTTATCTGGTGGGTCGTGTATTCGGGTTCAAATAAATATGGCTGGCCAAAAAAATGCAAGTCTTCCTCTGTGTCAATCCTTAGATATGTTTGCGAAGATTGTTTTGTTTACATCGTACGTCTCCCTCAGACTGTAAACGAAACTCGGGCGCACTGATAACACGTCAGCAGCGTCACTGAACGCGGATTGCTCTTTTTCTGATTCAATCACACATGGGACCTTTCACTCCTTCATTTGTGTGTCCTGTCAATTGCTAGAGGTTACTTTTTTTTTTTCTTTTTTTTTCCCTAGCTCTGCTTGCAGAAGTGGCAGTAGACCAAGTATTTTCTCTGTCCTTTTTTGTGATCCTGTGCTGGCATGTATACTCTTGCACTCTTTATGACCCTCTTATGTTATCATATCATCTTACCATGTATAAACACCCATATATATTACAAGAGCAAGCTTAGGACACTGGTTTGTACCTTCAGATGTTTGGGCATGGTGTTCTTGGAGCTATGTGACATTACTTTGTGGGCCCATCCTTATTTATAGTAGTCTCATCTGTGTACTGTGTGATATAGTTATGATACCTGATGTTTTTTTTGTCTTTTTTTATCTATCTCTTTCAGGAAAGTTGTCTGAAGGCGTATGCTTTAACTGCACTGCACTGCGGTTAACCACAAACAGGTAAATGGAATTAAACATTGGCTCAATAACATTTTGCACAATTTTGTCCTGATCTATTTGTAAAGAAATGCACAAAGTGATTTTTTTTTATTTACAAAAGATTGAATACACCTTTCTATAATGAGCATGTTTTTGATTTCTGATTTAAAATGAATTTAGATTTTATTTTTTTGAGGGAGCGGGAGGGGGGTCATAATGAAGAGAAATATGAAAATAATTAAATATTTAAAATATACATGTAATTAAAAAAATAATTTCCTTATGTAGTGATTTAAAAAAAATGAAATGAGACATTAAATAAGAAACTAAATCCACTTGGAGGTGGCGGCAAATCAAGTAGTTGAGTCAATCGTTCAAACGATTAGTTCAAATGGCTGATTCATTCAATACATTTTTTTCCGAAATTTGGATTCATTCAGTAACGAAGTATTGCTTTGTGTTTCTAGGAGACATAAAACAGTATAATTTGGAAATTTCCATGACAAAATAAAGCATAAACAGAAATATTGTGTCTAAAATGTAACTTTAAAAATGTTAATTTATTGATTATTAAACTCTTTTATATAATCAATATTAAAAATATTATACTGTTTTCTTTTTAATTCTTTCAAATTGGGTCTTTATTGAAAGATTGTATAGACTGATGAATGATGTGTGTTTTCAGCAGCCATGGTGCTCTTGGAGGCAGCATGTGGCCTCATGCCTCATCTGTCCTGTACCTTGACAGTTCGTCAGCACTTCAGCAGCACTTGTCCAGGTCACCTCGCCTTTACTGTGCCGTCTTCGTACCTGACCCTGCCCTGCCTGTGCACACCCACTCCACATATTCCAGGACGCTAGCCTGGCCACAGAATACCCCAGTCCGGTGGGTACATACTACAGGCCGTCTCCATGATGATTCAAAGGTCGAGCGTTCTTTGCGTACACTGAAAGATCGCAATAAAAAGCTTGAAGAGGGAGGACCGGTGTACAGTCCGACAGTGGATGCAGAACCTGTGCGACGGACGATACGTCAACGCGTGATTGATGAAGTGAAGCACTATTATCACGGGTTCCGCTTATTGTGGATAGACACGACCATCTCTGTGCGGATGCTCTGGAGGGTACTGAACGGACACATTCTGTCACGCCGGGAGAGGAGACAGGTATATACAAAATTAAACCACACCTCAAAGGCTTTTTAAGGGGTTTGCACCGATTCTAGTGTGTAATTTAGTAGCATCAATTCACAGAAATAAAATTTCAATAAAAAAAACCTAACACATTTCTGACAAAAATAATTCAGAAAAAAACAGAAAAACAGAAATAGAGATCATTTAAATAAAACAGACAAAATTGTGAACATTTTATTAATAAATAAAATATTTAAAAAATACCAAAACAAATTTTTTATCACATTTTATTTGTTATTTATATCATGTAAACAATTTTTCTTTCGGCTATTTTTGGTATTTATCGTTACATTTCATATTTTTGGGTCTTTCACAAAGGAATCCTTATTTTTGGGTGTCCTTGGCATCAGAAAGTGTGGAAAAACCCTGTCTTATAGTGTCTGAAAGAATTGGGAGACTGAGTTGATTGAATTGCACCTTCCCAATCTGTCTCCCTCCGTGCCAATATGTATTAGATAATAACTGTACTCTGACTCCTGGAAGTTGCGTAGCAGCTAGCCAATCAAATCGTAACATTAGACAAAGTTGAACTCTGCTCAAATATCTTTAAGAGAGTTCATGACAGTATGATTGTGTTCAAGTGCTTGAGATTTGGTAATTATAAAGTAGACATCAGACGCTTTGGTCTGTAAAGACAGTACTTATTTACGAAATACTAGTATTAGCGATGAAACTTCCTCCACACATATGAATGGGTTCAAATTTGGGTCTATAATTATTTAATAGAAAATACTCCTATTGTACCACCTTTGACCTGTCAATGCCTATGTATTTTTTCATGGTGTTATTTAAATTGTTTGTTTGTCTGTCATTGCCCTGTGGTTTTAACCCAGGGTAATGTAATTAAGTCGTGTATATAGTAGGATTTGGACTTGAATGTTCGAATCCTTCCGTAGTTTAATCCCAGTCCCATAAAGCCTGCCTGGATCTCTTCTATAGCTCAATGATTTGAATTAGTGTCCTGCTGAGTCTTCAGGGAAAAGTCATTAGAGATTACTTCGTCAGAAGGCAAGTGGAAACTGAATACATTCTAACCAGCTCACATGACGTCTGGGATTCTTGAAGCCTTTAAACGGTTCGTTCACACCAAAATAAAAAATTCTGTCATCATTTACTCACCCTCATGTCTTTCCAAATCGGTAAGACTTTGGTTTTGACAGCTACGCAAATACCACTTTGACATTTCATGAAGTTCATGAAGAGATTGTTAAACTAATTCATATGATTTGAGTGATTTTTGCCCAAATTTTTTGAACAGACATAATCGCTTAATACTCTGAACAGATTTCATTTAGGCTTTTATTCACATATAAACATCAACACACGCATCAGTTGTGGTAAACAGAAGCTCAAGCATATTCACTTGACATGCAAGAACCATTGAAACAATAAGTTTTTTTTTCTCATCCTTCAAGCAGGTTTGGTTGAGCTTCTGTTTATGTTCACTGATCAATGTTTGTATGTGAATAAAAACCTAATTTCAATCTGTTCATCATATAAAGCGATTGAGTCTCTTCAGAAAATTTCGACTAAACCGCTCAGTTCATATGGATTAGTTTAACAATCTCTTTATGAGCTTTTTGAAGCGTTAAAGTGGTAGTTGCGTAGCTTCCAATGCTTTTTTTTTTCCAGATTTTATCAAAAATATCTTAATTTGTGTTCAGACGATGAATGAATGCCTTACGACATATGGGTGAGTAGCCTAAATGATGACAGAATTTTACTATCCCTATGAGATGATCCTTTTGGGTCCAATTTAATAACACTTGATCAAGATTAAATAATATTTAGATTTAGTTATAGATATATTTAATCCTATCCATTCATTAAAAAAAAAAAATCCAAAAAATTCAACCATCCATCCAAAAATGTTAACCATACAGAAAATTCAACCATCCATCCAAAAAAATATTTTATCCAAAAAATCCATCCATCCATTCCAAAAATTAAACCATCATTTTATAACCCTGCAGACGTCCTGGTCCCTGTAGTTGTTACTTGTAAGGTTTTGATTTAGAAGCTCTACTTTTGTTATTTTAAAGAAAGTTGCATAAGACAGGTGTGGTTTTCTGTCATGTCCTCCTTCAGTCTGATTAATGTTCTTCCTATCCTTCATCTCTCCTTTTCTGAGTAGCTCAATGATTGATAGATCAATACAGCTCACTTTGGAACCAAGTTGGCCACTAGCCCTGGCTGACTCCAGTAAAGCGATGCCCCGCTGAGATATGCTGTCCTTAGGACAGAAGTAAAAGTGAGGTTAGCTGAGGCCCATGTGCATTAGCTTTGTTCATTAGGTGCTATTACCTTTATTGAGCTATCAAACGTCAAATTTCAACCTGGCAAACAATTAAGTAGGTGAAAAAATAAACCTATTAAAGGACTTTGACTTGGGCCAGTGATAAACTACTCAGATCACCCTATTAGTTATGGCAACTTGGATACATTTTGTACATGGCAAGCAGAGAAGTTCACATTTTAAGAAAAAAATCAGCTGAGTCTACTAACACTGCTGGGTCAATTTGATTCAGATGTTTGGGGCCAGTTCCATTTTTATCTATTTATTTTATTTCAGCAGGGACCGATTAAATAATTCCGAATGGACCCTAAAAGGCGTTTATAATGCTACAATATATTACTTTTTCGAATAAATTATGTTATTTTAAACTTCTATTAATCAAAGAATCTAAAAAAAAAAGATCAGTTTCTACAAAAATATTAAACGGCACGGCAGTTTTCAACACTGATAATAATAAGAAATGTTTCTCAAGCTCTAAATCAGTATATTATGATTTCTGAATGACCATGTTACTGCTCTTCTGTATTCTATTTGAGTTTTCAAGCACACACCTGATTGTGGCTATCACATTTATCACACCTCGTCTCTGTTAGCACAGTCCTAATACCTTCCCAGCCTCATTCTCAGACTGTCTCATGACTCGGCCTGTAGTAAATTGACACTCTAGCGACTGACTATCTATAACCGTATGAAGCCTCTATTGCGTTAGTCACTACGCACTGGAAATGTCTCTCATTCTCTCCAAACAAACGCTCTATTTTTGGGTTGCTAGGATATTAATGCCTAACATTATCCATTACATTACATTAGCCCTATCCATTAGCCATGGCAATATTATCGAGGAGGAGTTATGTTTGGTATCGCTCTGGTGATAGTTATATGAAGCTACAGAGATGGAAATACCACTTAAAAAAATTAATCTATTTGCAAAAATGATTTCCTAACGAAAGGATCTCTTTTATTCCTTATACTTTGTAACGTATAAGTTCAGTGTTTTTGTTGTTTTTAAAGCTTCTTGTTTGTAGGGATATAATAATGCTAATAATTGCACTGTGTACTACTAGTACAACTGCTAATACGACTAAATTAAAATATGAATCAAATTGTTACACATTAAATGTAAAATTAAAATGCTATTATTTATGGCTATAAATGTTAAACCATCACCCTTTTCAATGGGCAAGCACCTTTTCACATATTCTTCAAAAAAATCGACTAACATAAAACAAGTAAAAATCATACCACGTTCCTAAAGCATTAGTAGATATTTTTTCCACAGCATTTGATCTTAAAACATCCACAGCTAGTGTAATACTCATGTTTAGGTAGTCATGGCTAGTTGTTACCAAGAGCTTACTGGAGTTCTTTATATTTTGAGCTCTGTCAACATAAGAATTGCGAGGTATGCTAATGCCTCCGTCTCAGCTAGCATCTGTCTCACCTCACTCTCGCTATTCTTCTGACCTGCTTCATCCTTAATCCTGCCTATTCACAACTGGCCTCGCACAGCATGGGTTCCTTTAGCTTTTGATGTCAGTCCTCAACCCCCTTCCCAAGCTCTCTGTCCTGCTCTCTCCCTGCCTCTTCCTTTGGAATGCCCTCACTCCCTTTCTCCATCTTCACTCACTCTTCCCCTGAATATTTCACACTCCAGGCCTGTTTTCCTCTTCTCTTCCCCCTCACATGCTCTCTGTCTCTCTGTCTGTGGTGATATACATGTCAATGGGCCAAATACAAAGGCTCTTTTCAGGCCTGCCTGGTTTAAATTCTTTCCTATAGGGCTGCTGACACACAGGTGGAATAAGTAGAGCAGGGACCCCTCTTATAAAGCTGAAGCTCCTTTGTTATCTAACCTCTCATTTTTCTAAATTCATAATGTTTTTATCATCTATTAGATATGGCATGATGCAGGAAGTCAGTTATTGACATATGGAGTGGATGCACAGATGTCCTGACTTTGTTGGTCTCTGGTGGTATCATCATGATCTGTACATGATTTTTTTATTTTGTTGTATTTTTATTTTATTTTTTGTTGCTGTTTTGTTTTATAGCGGTCAATTTTTCACTCGTCCAGGTTATTTAAAAAAGCTTCAATAAAATATAATATTTTTTACATTTATGTTACAAAGTAGTCTAACACAAGGATTTATATCATTATTTTTAAAAGCACCATTAGGGTTTTAACTTCACTATTAGGTCTAGATATTAGGCACTGATCAATAATTTCATCACTTACGCAGCCATCTGCTAACATCACTGCTGTCTTTTGTTAATTGCAGTTCCTGAGGACGTGTGCAGATGTCTTCCGGCTTGTGCCCTTTTTGGTCTTTATTATCGTCCCATTTATGGAGTTTCTGCTTCCTGTTGCAGTGAAGCTTTTCCCAAACATGTTGCCTTCCACCTTTGAGACACAGTCCATAAAGGTATGCTGACCTTTTGAGTTTTAATCCATAAAAACCTTAAAGGAGTAGTTCACTTTAAAAAAAACTTTTGCTGATAATTTACTCACCCCCATGTCATCCAAGATGTCCACGTCTTTCTCTCTTCAGTTGAAAAGATATTAAGGTTTTTGATAAAAACATTCCAGGATTTTCTCCATATAATGAACTTCATTGGGAACCAAACGGTTCAAGGTCCAAATGAGAGTTTCAGTGCAGCTTCAAAGGGCTTTAAACGACACCAGACGATGAATAAAAAAGGATTTCATGACTCAAAATAGATTTGTTCATTTTGATGAGTGTTCGTAACTCTCCTGTTCAAACTCGTTCATCACAGAACAGAGCAAGGCGAGCATTTGTGCTTATAAAAGTTAAACTTTTTTATTTATTTTTGAAATGACTGATCGTTTCGCTAGATAAGACCCTTATTAATCATTTGGTGTCGTTTAAATCCCCTTGAAGCTGTACTGAAACTCTCATTTGGACCTTGAACCGTTTGGTTCCCAATTAAGTCCATTATATGGAGAAAAATCCTGGAATTTTTTCATCAAAAACCTTAATTTCTTTTTCGACTGAGGAAAGAAAGACATGGACATCTTGGATGACATGGGTGTCAGTAAATTATCAGCAAAAGCTTTTTTAAAAGTGAACTACTCCTTTAATTGTATTTCTGTCTTAGTCTTGACTCTCTTACGCCAAACCTATGTCACATCATATAAAATCTTGCTCATGCTCTGTTTGTGTCTGTGTGCGTGTGTGTTTTGCAGGAGGAAAGACTGAAAAAGGAGCTGAGAGTGAAGTTAGAGATGGCCAAGTTCTTGCAGGATACAATTGAGGAGATTGCACTAAGAAACAAAGCAGCTAAAGGCAATGTAACCGAGGAGTTCTCCACTTTCTTTCAGAAGGTAGGCCTAGATGATGGTCACGCATGCTCACCCCTCATCCTAAAAAAACAACTCTGCTGCTTCTCTATGTGATTCAAAACTCAGCAATGTATTGCCCCCATGTGGTGATTCCTATAAAGTGCTCTTAGATGAGACGAGACTCATAAGTGCTATGAATGAGAACTTCTTTTGCTGCTAACTCTCTCTGTCTTCCCCTTCCTATTCCCACCCAGATCCGTGACTCTGGAGAGAGACCCAGTAATGAGCAGATCATACGTTTCTCTAAACTGTTTGAAGATGAACTGACCTTAGATAATCTGACCCGGCCGCAGCTGGTGGCCTTGTGTAAGCTGCTGGAGCTGCAGTCCATTGGAACCAACAATTTCTTGCGCTTCCAGCTTATCATGAAACTCAGAGCCATCCGTGCGGACGACAAGGTTAGAACCTGTCCTTACTCGGTGTGTCAAGATGGGTCAAATACTTTTCATTGTGATCATCATTTATGTCAATTACAGTATGCCAGTTTTTACAGATTAATTATTGAATTAAAATAAATGATCATCTAATCAATTGATATAATTGTCCGTTCCCCGTGTTGGATTATACTGTACTGTATTTAATGTGAAAATTTGAGTTTAAGATTTTTTTGGTCTCACTTTATTTGAATGTCCAATTCTCGCTATTTACTAACTAGTAACTATGATTTTTTTTCCCTCAATAAACTCCTAATTACTGTTAATTAATAGTACTGTAGTTGTTCAGTTTAGGTATTGGATAGGATTAGGGATGTAGAATGTGGTCATGCAGAATAAGACATTAATATGTGCTTTATAAGTACAAATAAACAACAAATAAACCTTGTAATATGTATGATAATAAGTATCTAGTGAGAATTGGACCCTAAAATAAAGTGTTAGAATTTTTTTTAAGATGTCTCCTATGTCACCAAGGCTGCGTTTTATTTGATCAAAGATACAGTAAAAACAGTAACATTGTAAAATATTATTACAATTTAAAATAAGTGTTTTGTTTTTTAATATTATTTTTAAATGCGATTTATTGATGCAAAGCTAAATTTTTAGCATTATTACGCCAGTCTTCAGAGTCACAATAGAAATTTCAAAAGTAATCAATAGAAAGCTCAAAAGTAAAGTGTTTATGTCAAACAGAAATCTTTTGTTACATTCTAAATGTCTTTACTGTATATTTTGATCAATTGAATGGACCCTTGCTCCTTAAAAGTAATCATTTCTTGAAATAAAATTCAAACAGAAGCCATTTCATTTTTTTTAAACAAATACTCATATTGGCCACATTTGTGAAACTTCAAAAAGGAATCAAAACCATTTTAAAGGTTTTTGTGTCATTATGTATTTGGTGCGTAATAAGAGTTTAAAGCAAATTAAAACAATTATCAGCAATCGTATTGGCTAGAATGTCTAAATCGGTTTATTCCTAGCTGATTTCTTTGCACGTGTGTGTGATTGACAGCTGATAGCAGATGAGGGAGTGGACAGTTTGAATGTGAAAGAGCTGCAGTCAGCATGTCGTGTGAGAGGGATGAGAGCTCTGGGTGTGACGGAGGAGAGACTTCGAGAGCAGCTTAAGCAGGTAACACATGCTCCACATCCCTCTGTTATCATTACTTCCCAGTAATGCATCTTCTCATCATGCATTTCACATTTCTGATCATGACAGTGGTTGGAGCTTCATCTCAATCAACACATCCCCACATCTCTACTGCTGCTGTCCCGAGCCATGTTCCTGCCAGACACACTGTCCCCTGCAGACCAGCTTAAAACCACACTACAGAACCTGCCAGAGATCATGGTAAGCACACAGTACAGCTGGACAATACAGTATACCAAATATAGGTTAGGTTCATGAAAAATATAGTCATATATATACAGTCAGTGCCTTCACGTGTGCTTTCGCAGGCTAAAGAAGCGCAGATGAAGGTGGCAGAGCTGGACTTCTCTAAAGTGGATAACAAGACCAAGCTGGAGGCCACTCTACAGGAAGAGGCAGCCATCCGACAGGAAAACAGAGAGCGGGAGCTGGAGAGACTGGCAGATGCTGCTGAGAAAGTAAAGAAACTGGCCGCAAAGGTCATTACAGTCACTTTCAGTCTACCTGTTGTACCTGTTGCAGTCTACCTGTTTCAGATACCTGTTGTAAAGTTGAAATGTTCATGAAAGGTTATATGTTTCCAGGAGGGTGAGATGGTGGAGTTGGAAGCAAAACGACGGGTGGATGCAGAACATTCTCTTTCCAGCGTAGACGTGGCCATCCATTCAGAAACACTACGAGATACTGCACCCGTGCTGGAGGGTATTAAGGTAACAGAATGACACACAGATAGTTTCTTCTCTTAAATCCCATTATTAACAAGAAGCAAAGCCCAATATATTTACATGAAAACACAATGTGATGATGAACTTTATACATGTGCCCTACTGTTTAAATTTTGGGGGTCAGTATTTAAAAAAAAAGAAGAAATTAATATTCAATATATCATTTTATTTGTCAAAAGAGACATTTAAAATGCTACAAATGCTGTTCTTTTGAACTTTATTCATCAGAGAATCCTGAAAAAATGTATCAGTTTACACAAAAATATTTTAGCAATTATTTTAAATTGGAACATTTCACAATATTACTTTTTTTGGCTGTATTTTTGATACATTTTTGACAAATCTTCTTTCCAAAACATTAAAACAATCTTACTGACCCCAAACATTTGAACGGAAGTGTTCTTTACTAATGAACTGTTACGCATTATTAAATATTATTTGCTAATATGCTATAGTGTTTTTTTTATCCCTATTAATGCAAGTCAGTCCACTCAATAGCCCTTTTGGCCATGCCTTCAGTCAGCTATTTTCTATCTTGGTAATAAACTTATTTAATACCAAGATACCAAATATAGCCCCATTCTGCTTAAATTGGGGAAAACGGAGACATCCAAAACTGCTGCAATACCAAAATACCAGTCTTTTATATTAAATGATTTCAGTTAATGCACTTAAACTTTCCAAAGCAATAAGATAAGGCAGTTCTTTGCCGTTTACATGACAATAATGCTGACGGTGATATTAAGCTATGCATTCGTCCTTCACGCCTTCTCTGGTTTTACTTATGACTGTGTTGTCTGTTTGCTGTCATGTTACAGGAATGGCTGTTTCTCTGTTATTATGTATTGTGTATTATTTTGCGTGTTTATTTCTCCAGTTCGAGCAGTGGCAGAGGTATCTGCGCATTCAGGTTAGATGCTGAACTGCATCCCCATCTGGAGACCACCACACTGATGCTCTGCTCTCCTAGTCACTTTACTGTGTACTTTTCCATCACTTACAGTTTCATAATCTGAACTGTTGGTTTAGGGTTAGGCTTAGACTCTTGTAACGCTTGTTATTTACAGCATAACAGGCACAGAAATGACTGAATCACTGAAGTATACTTTTGCGTGAATAATACAGTGATTTAAAAGAGCAGAAGTCTTGTGTGGTTATGCCAGTGTCCTTCTTTCCACTCCACTCCAATTCTCTGTCCCTTTATGAGTATGTATGAGCCTGTAGGACATATGTAAGATGCAGTAAATCCTATTGGTTGTTTGTTTGTCTTATGTGGTTCAGAGACCCACTACATAAGCCGTACGATGTGTTTCAGTTGGTTTTAGTGAGCTTTCTGTTGTCACTTTTGCTGAATGGAAGACCTTCCTTTCCTCTGACTGATCCTCTTATGAAAGAGAAACCACTTTATGTTTGCATCAGTGTCGGGGAGTAACTTAAATACACTTTTTAAAAGCGCTACCTGTAGTTCAAATGTTCAAAACAGCGTTGCTTTTCCAATAACAAGTTACACTACCATTAAAAGGTGTGGGATCAGTAAGAATGATTTATTTTTGTACTTTTATTCAGCAAGGATTCATATAAAGTGACAGGAAAATACATTTATAATGTTAGACAACTGTTTTAAAGACTTGAAAACTAAAAAAATAATAATAAGAATCTTACCAACCCCAAACAGTGGTGTGTATTCCCATCAAGCAGCAGTTTAGATTGACAATTTTGTTATTGTGTTGTCTTACTACAAAGCAAGCAATAATCAAATGTTCCCAGCAAGAATGTATGCGATAGTGACAGTATTCACCAGTTTGTACACAGTTCATATCATAAATGAAATGCTGCTGTTTAGCATCATGTATTCAAATCAGTTATATAGAACATTTTTAAATAGTTCATTGAATTTATCTAGATTATTTATTGTGTATAAATATTGTTTTAGATTTATATTTAGTGCTATGACATCTAATCAAAATCCTCATAGGTTTAGTGCTAAATAGTTAATAAAATAATAATTTAATAAAACAATATTTTTGTTTAAAGGTTAGCTTAACTGTAATGACTTTGTAGCTTAAAAATTGGTGACTATAGGGATCCGAACCCACAGTGATTTAAGCATGGTTTTGGAATAGATAATGATTCTATTTATTTATTTTATTTGGAAAAATAGCTTTAGCTAATTAAATAAAAAAGTTACAAAGAATTTCCATCCATATTATATACATTTCATCCCTAATAGACTTTGTACAATTTCTGGAACTTGCACCAAAAAAATCTATCACTGATTGAAAGTTTCCCCAACACTGCTGTGCATGTTTGTAAATGTGTGTGTTCACAGGAGTGTTGATGGACACTGTGTGTGTCATTTTTCAGGGGGAGGAGATCACTAAGGAAGAGATTGACATGCTGAATAATGCCTGCACCAAACTGAAGGAGCAGAAGAATCTCCTCACCAAAGAGAAAGAAGAGCTTGAGGACCTAAAGGATGATGTGCAGGAGTATAGCGAGGTGTGTCTTCAAACAGAGACCATCTTTAACAAACGGTTCATTTTCATTTCTGGTGTAAACATTTAACCGTGTGATCCACTGTTTCTCTCTACAGGACCTGGAGGAGATAAAGCGAGAGCTATCCAAGACGGGACAGGAGAAAGTAATGGAGTCTAAGGCAAGTCAACATCTGTCAAAGCGAGTCAACCGCATGATTGGAAGAGTGGATAAGATCATCACTGAGCTGGAGAAGGACAAGGTGGTGTTAGACGGACAGATGGACAGCGGCACCACACCACCAATTGGGTAAGAGACTTTGATTTGCTGAACGAATGGAATTGGGTGATTTATAATGGTGATTTTAGCTTTCTGTGTGTGAGTGCATGGGAGTATCCATGATACATTATCAGTAATGCATGAAGAGAAGTTGCAATCAACACAGTAAAATGGTGGTGGAAGAATGACTTTACAGGTAAACACAAACCAAAAAAAGGGTTCCCAGTCCAAATAAAAAAATCATATTTTTTTTGTTGTTTTTTAGATTGTTCTTTGAGAAACATAGTGACTTGCCAAGGTAAGCACAGGAGTGACCTCTCGCCTTCTGTTTCGTTTCCCCATCAAGAGAATGAAGTAAAAGTAAAATAAAAATATGGATTTAACACTAGGGATGCACCGAAATAAAAATCTTGTCCAAAACCAAAAATTCTAGATGCATCTGGACGAAAACCGAAAATTATTTTTAAGATTTATTTTTTGCCACATTGGATTAATATTAGTATTAATATTAGACTTTTTAAGAAAATTCAATAATTGTAATGATGCTTAATGTAAAAAAAATACAAGCCAATAAAATAAAAGCCACACTTTTATTAGTTGCACTAAAATATGACCGAACGGAATAAAGAAAAATATATTGATATTTATTATTAATATATTTTCTATGCAACAGAATCAAATTTAACAGATTTATTTTTTGTCCAATTATCCATGATATTATCCATTGTATATAATCAGAGCATGTGAGCATTAGTGAACAAGAGGGTGGTGTCATTTTAGCAGGGTTGCCCAGCACAGCTATACCACACAATGTTACAGTACAGTAGGGCTATCCCACACAGAAACAAGTATACTACTACATAGTACCGAAAATGCCATTATCGGTCAATCATTTTCGGCAGCCGAAATTTCGGAGCATCCCTATTTAACACAAATACTAAATATTTTAGGGGGTCTAAAGTGTGATTTCATTTGATTGAATATTTTAATCCATTATCGGTTTGCTTGTCATTTCTTTCACTAGTCCTGTGTATTTCGCTAATGCTGGATGTTATGGATTTGATCAGCTGTGAGATTAGATGTTGTTCTCTGAAATCTTCCTCTTGTTCAGTGTTCCTAGTGCTGCCAGTAAAAACATGAATCACTTATTTTAAGGCCTACTACAAAGGTCAAACTACAAATAAGGCTTGAATGATTTAGTGCAAGATTCGAGAATCGATTTCTAATTACGATTGGTATTGACTCCAAAAGCACTCGCAATCGTCTCTCCTGGGAACCCTGCACGGCTGTCTTGGCATGCGATTGGTTGATCATTGAACTTACTCATCCTCCACCATCTTACCCGCTGTGTTATCAATCAACCGCTTCCTGTATGCAGTGTGTTCTTGTCCTACAGGGAGAATCTGATAAGCATCAACGAGCTAATTACAGTGATGAAGCAGATCCAGAGTATTCCCGAACACAAGCTGCTCAGCATCGCGGACGCACTCGACGAAAACAAAGATGGCAAGATAGACATTGATGATGTCCTCAAGGTAACAAGATGGGCCTTCTTGGGTCACTCATTGATTTGCCTTCTCTTCCTGTTTGGTTGAATCAGCATTTTAGTTTGACTGACATTTATCCGGCGTGTGTGTATGTTAGGTGGTTGAGCTGATCGACAAGGAGGACATCGATATCTCCACCAACCAGGTTGCAGAGATCATGGTGATGCTCCAGAAGGAGGAGAAGTTGATGGAGAAGGAGAAAGCCAAGGAGAAGGTCGAGAAGGAGCAGGCAGCTAAACTCCAAAACTAGACTAACCGTGAAGGGAATGGAAGAGATCCTGAAGCTTTTTCAGGTCTAATAATATGCTCAGATTCAGAGCGAGGCTAAAAACAGTGCTGACCTTCGCTCTTTGCTTTGTTCAAGTAAGACTATTGTATAATCAATGAATTGAGGGAACTGTATTTATTAGAAAGCAGGAGTAGTTTAGTATGGAGCCCTGTACTGAAATTGAGGCCATAAATTAAGAAAAAGTTCCCAACATTTGTTCCCTTGTTGAGGGTTAAATGATTTCCATATTGTACTAGTTTGTTCCCATTTATTGATTTGCTCCCTCGCTTTATTTAAATTGGGGCAACAAAGTAGTACAAAGTGGAACTATTTAATAGGTGGTGGCTACGATATCTTACTTTTCCCTCAAATTTCATGTGCACTGCACCCTTAAATTCAGAGATGAATTTTGAAAAGGCCCCTTCTTATAGGTTGAGCGAGTCATTTCTGCGCCACTACTGGCACAAAACAAACTGTGTGTTTGAGCGGACTTATTGGGTTGGACATAATACTAACAGCTCAACCAATAGCGTGAGTTTGGGGAGGAGTTATCAGTCATTACTTTTGTGGCACAGAAATTGCACGCTTCAGCTATAAGATGCAAAAAATTGACTTTGAGAGTACCGTAAATTTACACCCAGTGATGTCATTTCCTGAGATCTGAGGTAATTTCCTCTCTTTTGCACAATACATCACCTGTCACCATCATTCCACTACTCATTCAGTTTGATTTAATTGCATTTTTACTTCTTTTCAGTTCACAATCTTTTTTCATGAGCTTGCTGAATGTTGCGCAGAAGACATTGATATCATCTCACTCATGTTTATTCAGTAACCAAAGGTTTGTTGCAGATTTTATGCTTCATTTATACTTGTACATACACATTCAAGCCACCAAGCACTGAAGCTTCATGTCACACACCAAAGGTATGAAATTGTATTGGGATCTATATCTTCGGCACTTTTTTGGACTGACTTGAAGACAGTAGCAGAGTTAGATTTATAGATTTTGATGTGCGTTGTTTATTCAGCTTTTATCTTGGGGTGATTTCAGCATCACATTTACATTGTGGCCTTAGCAAATCCCTCAAAATCAAATCAAGGCAATAAATTGAGATAATAATATTTAACAGTTCAACATTGCTAGTATTTGCATTGCACAGTAAATATCTGTGCATTGGGCGTCTCTGTTAGCTGGCTTGGATTAATGATAGATGATTTGTGAGTGTATGTATGTGTGAAAGAGTACCTTGGAACCTGAGAGGTCAGTGCAGACAGAATCAGCTCAGCCATCTAGTCAGTATGTGGCCTGGTTGATCGCTTATTCCTTACATGGAGAGAGCGGCAGCAGTCGTTCTCATTGCAGAGCACCTACACTAACTGGAATGTGTCAATCAGCTTGAGACTCGCACGCTTACTGGTGGCGTGAGTCTGGAAGCATAGTTTCACAGGGCACATAAGGCCGGGAATACATCATCTTAACCCTAAACATGTCATGGCGAGGGACCAGCATGTCTAACCTCAAAGCACAGTTCCTGTGCTGTGTCTCAGACAGAGTGTCTAGGTGCCTATTTCACATCGTGTCCCTTATAGGGATAGTTCACCCAGAAATAACTATTTTATTTTGTAAAACACAAAATGAGATGATTAAATAAAAAATTCTCACTGCATAGGACAAAAAAAAATGATGACAATTTTCGATTTTGGGTGAACTGTCCCTAACTTACCCAGGGGACCCTTAATTATAGTAATGGCATTTAGGCCTTTAACTATGTTTATGAATTAGTATTATCATACCGTACGATAGAAAAAAAATCCCACGTTTTCCGTTTTTATTGAGCGAGTATTTAATGCTAATGTATAATTGCACTATATTCCGAACTTTAATTTTCCTATTTGGCGTGTCGATCTAGACTCAGGAAGATGCATGTAATGTCTGTTTGCACATTGAGATGTATTTTGGGGAAACTTGCACACTTGAATTTTTAAAGTGGTAGATATGATGAATTTTGTAGAAAGGTATAAAGGTACCTTGCCGATTGTGTTTTGTTTTGCGATTTTTAAATTTAAGTTCTCAGATTAATTTATAAAAGATAGCGCATGTGCACGTAAGTGACCACAGACTGAATGGATTAAAGATATGATGTAATTATGCCTGGAAACTAATTTACTGCTTAAGTTCATTTAAACGGATTGAATATATTATTTATTTTCCCCTTATAAGGCCCGTACTTTGTGTCTTAGTATTTTTTTTTTTGACTATTCTGTATTTGTTAGAAGGTTCAAGACCTAAATACTGTTACGCTAGTTAATTTGAAGACTAACCAATAATTGTGAAATAAGTGATGTGTAAAAAGGTTTTTGAAAATCAGTATGACTCAAAATAAGACATTTATTTTGTTGTAAATATACTATTTACATACAAGTGGTTCCAAAGTCAAATAAAATCAAACTGATCTCTAAATTGAATGCTATTTTTCCCTTTTTATTTTTGACTCATGCATTTCATGTTTCATATATTTTGTGTTTTTTTTATTTATTTTTTTTTATTTAATGCTTTGCTTTGATATGCTTTGATGCCCGATGCCTTTTCCCTTCCATTATTCACTCGTTATCACTGGCAGCATCCATCTTCTCTGCAGTAATAAAATATTAAATTTGACTTGTAAATTCAAGTATGTATATACGCTTATGTGAAAATGGGGTACAGGACAGTAGAGAGTCGCACTTAAATTGAGCTAGAATAATATCTGAGATGAAATGGCAGACTGCCCTGTGCTTTGTTAATAGTTATTTTCCAGGAAATCTTTTTATTAAGAAAAAATATGTTTAAAGATAACATTTAAAATTAAATTGAATTGAATTCTAATAATTCTGCACTTTCTCTGTCTTTCTGATAAAGAAATTGAGATGCCTTTTTCCATTTGAGACTGCAGAAAATTATTTGGAGTACTTTACAAATTTTAATTGGATCCTGAAATCAAAGTGTCATTTTGGTCTAAAATGGAAATAATTATTTTTATTATATATTCTATTTTATTATTTAATTAATATTATTATATTATTAATGATTATAAGTGTTTTTGAAAATGCTCACTCTTAACCTACTCTTATAATGCAACAGTACTTTTAAGTTTACTTCATAACTGGACTGTTATTTATAAGATGAACCTGGTCTAAAGTTTTAATTCCACATTTTTAGATTCATATCTTGGGGTATGATAAATAAGCATTGAGGTTATTAAATGTATGTTGAGATTCATTCATATTCATTTAATGTTTGAATAATAGCAATATTTTCCAGACCACATGGTGGCGCTGTAGTCTTAGACAATGAAGGTAATCACAGCCATGTCAACATGTTCCTGTATGACATATTATTCATAAAGTCAACCCCAAATGAATGTAGATGTTATACTTGTTCTTGCACCAGTTCTGAATATTATCTGCATTTATGTAGATCATAGGACAACTGACAAGAGACGATCACAAATCATAAGTGTCTTTAACTCAAACAGTCTGACATCCAGACTAAAAAACGACGTGAAATTATGCCGTCTACTAATAACTTGTGAGGACTTGAAGTGGGCTGAATAACTGAGGGAGACTCACAGTAAATCATGTGGGCTGGTAAGAGGACATTGCTCTGTATATAAGAGGGCTTCTTGGTTGTAATGACACCTAAAGTTAAACAGCTCTTTTCTGGCCGGCTAAGTTTATATTTTAGGTGTTGCGGGGTGAAAGATTACATATAATGTATATATTGTATGTTGCTTGGAGTCACTTTATAGACATAAGTGCTGAGAACCATCTAAAAACACTAAATGGCGCATGCTTTATGTCAAGTTCAATAGGCAAGGGACTCTATCTCCCTATTTTTGCACACATAAAACGTGTGAGGTTAAATTATCTAAAGACCCTCATCTAAAACACACTATTGGCTTATGTAATTATTAATCTCTGTGTTGAGCAAATTCTTATATTGTTGCAAGTGTAGCTTTTTGTTGATCATATTTTGCAAAGTTAAATAACAGTAATGCTCTTAATTTAAAGCTGCTTTAAGTGATGTCTTTAAAAAAACAAAACAATGTCAACTACCTGATAGAAATCACATTTAAATAAGGTCTTATAAAGAAAAATAATCAGACCAATTAGAACCATTAGGAGGTGGGGTTACCATTTGAAACCCTCAAATGAAAACCTTTGTGGGTTTAGTCATTAATTTTGTCATTTCCATAAACCTTTGTCAGGTTAGACGCTATATTGAATTTGACCGGTGTAAAAATAAGGCTTTGAGGGATAGACTTACAGTCTTTATGATGGCAAGCATTGTATGAAGGTCATGGATTACATAACTGGAGTTTTTGTCTATTAGAATTATTATTTTTTTTTTTTTTCTGGAAAGATGTTTCATCAGCTGAACAATTGGGCATGTTGTTTAACAACAGTTTAATTCATTGAACGCACTGTACTTAAATTAATTAATAAAATTTTTTGCTACCCTGGTTAAAAGAGAAGTTCACTTTTAAAAAATCTTTTCTGATAATTTACTCACCCCCATGTCATCCAAGATGTCCATGTCTTTTTTTCTTCAGTTGAAAAGAAATGAAGGTTTTTGATGAAAACATTCCAGGATTTTTTTCCACATAATGGACTTCAATGGGAACCAAACGGTTCAAGGTCCAAAAGACAGTTTCAGTGCAGCTTCAAAGGGCTTTAAACGACACCAGACGATGAATAAGGGTCTTATCTAGTGAAACGACCGGTCATTTAAAAAAAAAAATAACAAAGTTTAAGTTTTATGAGCACAAATGCTCGTCTTGCTCTGTTCTGAGATGCACGTTCGTGACTCTCCTGTTCGAACTTGTTCATCAAAATGAACGAATGTTTTTTCAAGTCATTTCGTTCGTTGAATGAACCAACTGACTCAGGAAAAAAAGTTCATTTTACTTTTTGCTTATAAAACTTAAACTTTTTTATTTATTTTTGAAATGACCGGTCGTTTCGCTAGTTAAGACCCTCATTCATCGTCTGTTGTCGTTTAAAGCCCTTTGAAGCTGCACTGAACTCTCATTTGGACCTTAAACCGTTTGGTTCCCATTGAAGTCCATTATATGGAGAAAATCCTGGAATGTTTTCATCAAAAACCTTAATTTCTTTTCAACTGAAGAAAGAAAGACATGGACATCTTGGATGACATGGGGGTGAGTAAATTATCAGCAAAGGTTTTTTTTTTTTAAAGTGAACTACTCCTTTAAGGTCTGTTAGATGCCATAGTGATGCAGGGATTTCTTTAAATGTTGTCTCCTGAAGTATATCCAGAAAAAATGTAGCTCGATTGCTTTTCTTTTGTTCATATATTTAGACCACAGAATGTTTGAGATTATTTATGAAGAGTTTACATCAGTCAGAGGTCTCTCATCATGCTGTATCACTGTAGCAGCTCTGTATTGCTCATATTGCACTGTATTGAATGGCAGTATAGCACTTTCACAATGCTTTCCTGATTGATGACTTGAATGTACTTTGGTGCAATGAAATTTTGTTGAAAAGTTCTTGGGATGGGGTACAGATGAGTAGTTTTTTGCTAATACATTGATCGAAAATTAATTTTTATTGTGCACATACATAAATGTACATGTTTCCATTATTGGAAGCTTCCACAAAGTGTGGTAAAAAAAACAAAGTGTAATTGTGGCTTTATTTGGAAATGTCACTTATTCAATAACCTTTTTTATAACTCTATTGGCTTCCAAATTTAATAGCTTGTACTGTTTTATTTTTTTCATGTTTGTCAACTACTTTAGAATTGTGCAAATAGACATGGTGTGTCATGCAAAATACCAGTGTGTGTACGTTTAGTGTCGACTTGAGATGGAATTACACATTGAATAAATACACATTGAAATTTTGTCTTTGGAGAGACGTATTTTGGTGGGAAAAAGTTCTGTCTATTGGAGAATGCAGTGGAAAGAGTGCATGGAGGCTGGAGAATGCTCACGGAGCAAACATTTACACTAGACTTACGACACTGAGATGTTGCTGACGTCAGAAAAGAACACTCCACTTCATTCTCTCCAGCTCGCTTGGTTGGCTCACACTATGCTATATGGGGCATGGGTATGACGAGGGGAGCTGTGTTGTGTTGCGCTTCCGTTTAAACAGAATTTGACCTGCTAGAGGAGACTCTTAAAGGGATAGTTGACTTTGAAATTAATTTTTGGTATGTTTTAGCTTACCTCAAGGGCATCCAAGATATAGGTGTCTTTGTTTCCAGTTTCCACAGTATTTTCAATTTTGATATTTTTAGGTCAAACCGTTCTTGTCTGTCAGTTATATAATGGAGATAAATGGGGTCCACCTCAAAGAGCATGCACAGAGAAGTCCAAATTAAACATGATTTAATGACTCATAAATGTAAGCACATTGATGGCCAAAGACACGAAACGAGCGGTTTGTGTGAGAAAACGAGCCGTATTTATATCGTTTTTACCTCTTGTAACCACAGTCACGTCCAAGTGATTTGAAGGCACGGGCACTTCTATCTGCGCAAGCTCAGGAAAGCGGCGGAAGTGATCTCTTGCGCGGTTGCGAAAAAAAAAATCAACGTTGTCTGTTGATATACCGAAATCGTCTTCCATTGCAATTTCCTGTATATCTAAATGTTTAGATCTTCGTAGTGAAGGCACTTCTGAAATCTCTGTGTAAACAATGAGTGACGTACACGTGCGAGAGATCACTTCAGAGGCTTTCCGGCACGCTTGCGCAGATAGAAGCATCCGCGCCCTCAGATCACTTGGACAGTGATTACAAGTCACGTCCAAGTGTTTATTACTATTATTTTTGGTAACCAAACCATATTCCTAATTTTAACCCTTTAGTAAGTACGTGTTGTCAATTAATATTTTTCAGCACTTCAATATATAATTATTCTGTGACAAAGCCACCATAAAATAAAGTGTAAAGTGTAAGTCAATAAATTTAGCTTTCAAATGAATCTCTTTTACTGCGATTCTGCTTTGTCTGTCATCATAATTGCCAAGTTATTCAACCAAATTGCCAAAATGCTATTTTAAATATATATACTGTTGATAGACAATAGTTGATATAAATAGAATAATATCAAAGGATGATTTCAAACTTCCCTGGGTTTTTTGCCCCATGTATAATGGCATCTTTGAGTTACATTGTGCAATGATGACAACTAAATCAGCAAATGTTTCTTATGTCCCTTAATAAGGCATTGGCTGATGCATCATCATCCTGCTCATGCCAAACTTATATCTATATGAATGCTTATAAGTGTTTGACCACTAGGGAGCAGTGTATGACAAGTTCGCCTTCCTTTAGCTCTTATAATGTACATAATTTGCTTTACTGGGTAATTTTTATATATATATATATATATATATATATATATATATATATATATATATATTTGTCTCGTTCCTATTTGTCA